GAGGCATTAAATTTTCTTAAAGAACTTTGCGCTACTGCTTCCAGACATTCCAGGTTGATCGCTCTAAGATCTAAGATGGAAATCTATCCATGGATCGATCTAAGATAATCGCGCAAACAAAAAGAACAGGAAAGGCCTAGATTTTCTCATTGTGTATGGCAATGTTCTGTAAACACGTGTCATGCAAGCGTTTGCTCGTGGGCCACGTGGATGTTGGTTACGTCCGCAGAATTATCCGTTGGGTGGGCAGTTCCGGCCGCCGGCCGGTCGGGAACCGCCGGGTTCTACGAATATTCCGTTGCTGGCCAATATTTTGCCCTTTTCCCCATTTCCTCCAAAATAGGGGAGGAATGGCGATTTCTTAGGGCTTGGCGAGCGCGGGATGTGAGGAGTGATCCGGGGAGGCGCTGGAGTGGACGCGTGAGAGGCGCTCCGCTGCGATCGTGATTCTGCTGGTATGGCAATGCGCGCGTGTGTCACTTTGTGTGAAATTTTTCTTCTTCTTCCTTTCTTTCTTCCTGGTTCTCGGCGGAGAGGTGGATCGATCAGGGATTCATTCCCTGTTCCTCGTTTGCCCCCATTTCTCCGCTCCATTTTCATGCCTCTTTGTCAGAGTTGTGTCTGTTGAAGTTTGAATTCCAGCTGAAAATTCACTGTTAAGTTGTCTCACGCGGTTTTCTCTCGTCCTTTTTGCAGTGATTTGAGATCTTGTTCCGCCCATGGCAGCTTCCATGACCACTGATACTGCGAACTTAACGGGTACTATGATGGATATCTCCAGCCCCGCCATCGCGTTTGACATCGAGGTGGCGGAGTCTCTTCGGGCGACGTTTTCAGTGCCAAAACGAGTGAGGAGGAGGCTGGAGCAATCGCCAGAAGCTAAAAGCCTCGAGGATATTGAAGCCAAGCTCAAGGACGCTGACTTTAGAAGACAGGTCTGCTGGCCTTCTTTCTTCCTGACTTCTCGAAGTTTTTCTTACTCTCTTTCTTTTGCAGCAATTCCATGAGTGGCTTGCAAACAAGGCCAGGCCAAAGCGTAAATCCGACCAGACAAGCTCTCCTCTGCCAAAGGAGCTTGCTGAGCGCCTCGAGGCCAGGCTTTGTGCAGCAGAGCAAAAGAGGTGTGTTTGCTTTTAACTTCTTTCTGTTGTGGACGACTTGGTGCTGAAGTTTGTCTTGTACGAATTTGTCTTGTCGTGTAGGCTGGAGCTTTTAGCTCAAGAGCAGACACGACTTGCAAAGCTTCATGAGCTGAGAATGGCTGCAAAGACTGAAGCTCAGCTCCGTGCAGAGAGGGAAAGGGAGGAACTGGGGACGAAAGTTGAGTCGCGTGTTCAGCAAGCGGAAACAAACAGGATGGCGCTTGTGGAAGCTGAGAAGCAACGGCGAGCTGCAGCTAACGAACGTATTGCACAGTCAATCGTGCAGCGAACTACTCTCGAAGATCAAGAACGCGAGAAAGCTGAAGCTCTTCGTGTTGCCATTTGCCAGAAAATTGCGGCTGCAGAAGAAAAGCGGGCCTGCTTATTGGAAGCAGAAAAGAATCGGGCACAGGCGACTGTCACACAAGCCAGGAAAGTGGCAGAAGCGGTTTTACGGGAGAGGGAACTGGAGTTGATGAACAAGAAGGAGAAACTTGAAGCTCGCCTTCTCAGGGTAAAGTTGTCTATTACTTTTTTGTGGATTCTGATTCTTTCTCTCAGGCAAAGCGCCAGCGTGCAGAATATTTGCGACAAAAGGGAGGCTGTAGAGGAACGTGTCACAATCATGGGCACAAGATGCATAAGCATGGGGATCGGCTTTGTCGAAAGCTGACGAGGTATGTTGTCTCCTTGACTTGTTTATTAACTGCTCACGTTTTTCTAAATTATGGCGTAGGTGCTGGAGGCAATTTCGGGTGTCAATGAAAACAACTTATGCACTGGCCCAAGAGTTTGCCGAGTCCGGTATCAGCCAGCGTACTGTAACGTCTCTTCCGTTCGAACAGCTCGCCAGTCGGATAACTTCTCCTGCGGCATTGAGGAGTGTGAAAGCTCTTCTTGCCCGTATCGAAAGCCGGCTCATGCTCTCGGCTGCGACGGAATCGTCGGAGGTGGCAAAGATCGACGTGCTACTGAAGCGTCTCTCCCCGCCACAGCGTAAGACAGCCTCTTCCGGATCTTCGAGGATGAGCAAAAGAGGCGGCGCTCAAGCTCCTGCCAAAGCTCCTGCCAAAGCTCCTGCCAAGGCTCCTGCAAAAGCAAAGGACAGCTCGAAGCATGAGGACCATCACGACCTTGAGAGATATCCAGCGCGTGTTTTCCTTTGTGCCTACATGATCTCCGGGCATCCCGACGCAGTGTTCAGTGCAAGAGGGGACCGTGAAGCTGCACTGGCTGAGGCTGCTGCAAAGTTATTGCCAGAGTTTGAAGCATTGGTTTCAACTGTTATAGACGGCCCGACTCCTTCCTCCCCTCCGCCTTCTCCATGTCCGGAAAGCTACATCGATGGACAACACAAACCTTTCGCGGCTCAGCTGGCCTCCTTCGACACTGCATGGCACTCGTACCTCTGCCGGTTTGTTGCATGGAAGGTTAAAGACGCAGAGTTGCTCGAAGAGGACTTGATTCGAGTTGCTTGCCAGCTTGAAGTGTCTATGCTGCAAAAGTGCAAGATCGTACCTGGGAAGGATGCGTCGGAGCTGACACACGATACTCAAGCCATTCGCAAGCAGGTAATATTATAAAACTTGATAGTTTACTTGGGTATAACCTGCTCGCTTCTCAGGTTCTTGAAGACCAAAGACTTTTGCGTGAAAGAATCGTCCATTTGACTGGTAACACCGGACTAGAGAAAATGGAGGAAGCGCTTTCAGCCGTCCGCTCCAAGTTTTTGGAAGCAAAAGAGAATGGTGTTCCATTACCGTCACCTTTTGCGTATTCGTCGCCAGAAGACCTGCGAACCGTCCCTGAGTCGCCGGAATCAGATGGACAGAAGGACGAGCGACCGAAATCGAAAGCTGCACGCGCCCTCTTCACTGCAGCTCCAACCAACACTCCAAACATGGAAGCAGTTCCAGAGGCTATGAACCTCGATCCTGCTGCTGATCTCCACAACTCCGGGATGACAAACGAGAGAATTGTAAACGAAATGATGCACGATGGCAACTGGACGATCCCAGATCAGATGAACCCCTCTGGCAGTTTGTCGAAAATGGAGGTAAGTTTCTTGTTCTAAGCAGTAAACACATGGCTAATATATGCACATTTTCACAGGCTCAAATTCGGACAACTATGGAAAGAGCCTTTTGGGATAGCATCGAAGCCAATCTCTTGAAGGATACACCCGATTATCGGCAGGTTGTGAGCCTTGTAGGGGAAATTCGGGATGACCTCGAAAACATAGTGCCTGAGGCATGGAAGCAAGGGATTCGCGAAAGCCTTGACCTGGAGCTTTTGTCACAGGTAAGCAAGTTTATTCTTTTCTTTCGAACTCTAGTAATGGTTACTTTCTGCCGCAGGTTCTAGAGTCGGGCATCAATGACTTCAGATATCTGAGAAATCTGCTTGACTACACCCTTGATATAATTCTGAGACTGGGTGCTCCAGCTCGTGACATGGAATCCAAGACTGCACAGCAGGCGCTTATCGAGGATTTGTCAATGGCAACGACTGATGCTGCAACGAAAGAATCCTTTGGGAAAGCTGTCGTGAAGGGAATGCGTTTTGTGTTCGAGCGCTTGCAGGTATGCATTCTCGTCGATATCGAAATCCCACAACTAAAATACTAAAATACTAAAATACTTTCATGGCAGGTTTTAAAGCAGGACATAAGCAACGTCAGGCTACAGTCCCTCGCGCAACTCATCAGTGGATCGACTGGACTTGACTATCTACGAAAGGCATTCGCCGATCGTTATGACTTAACCGCTTCAACAACAGACGAGCAGCTTTTTGAAAAGCTCTCCAAAACCGTTCGGTGGATCCGCGCGACGCAGTCTTCGATGGAGGCCCACAAGAGCGAAGTTGACTCAGCATTAAACTCTTTCAAGTCGCTTTCAGCAAGCTTACCGCCAGCAAGCGCTCCGCCCGCGTTTCCAATGTGCACGGGTGGAAGAGTTGCTGTGACTGGAACGTCCAACTCTTCGAGGCAGAAAGCAGTTGCCTCAGGTACGAAAGATTCTTTTGTTTTTCTGTCACATCTCATTGTTTTCTTTCGCACAGGTGCCGAGGAACCGAAACTGGGATGTGTAAGATGGGGAAGCAACGAGGCCATCGTTCGTCTCGGGCTCCTCTCCCTCGTCACAAGCTCCGAGGCTGCTACTGACAAGAATGTACCAGAAACACTCTTACTCAACATCAACAGGCTTCGAGACTGCCAGAATGACTTCCAGCGAGTGGTGGTGATGGCTACCGGGTGAGTGTGCTTTTCATTCTCGACTGCGGCTTTGCTAAAGCGAGCTTTGCAGGCTTCTACTTCTCCGGCAAGAGCTCATGACGAAAGTCCATGGGCCCGAGCTGGAGAGCATCCTCGCGGACGCGTGCAAAGAACTGGAGAGCCTCCTCAACGAGCCCATGGCGTCGGTGAGCCAGATTGGATCGTTCCTCGCCAGAGTTTGCGCCAAGCACTGCAGCGAGAGCTATCCGGACGTGGATGCGTGCGCGGCGTTCATGGGCAGGGTGCTGGAGAGATCTCTCTCGGCTGGCGACGCCGTGTTTGAGCGAGTGGTGGCGACCATTCGATCGAGCTTGAGGGCGATGCTGGTGCTCGGGAGTGGCGGCGACGGCGCGGCGGTGGTGGAGTCGGGGCTCAAGAGGATCGGCGGCGGCGTGTTCCTGGAGGAGATCGCGGGCATTGCGCGGAAGATCGACAGGATCTCGAGTGTCACGGTCCAAGTTCACGGGAGCTGGTACGGACGGGTGGTAATGTTCAACTGAAAGAGACGATGCCGTACGGCGGGGTCTCCAAATGTACAAACGAAAGATTTTAGGGTACTAAGCTTAAATATTTGAAAGAGCGCGGGCTTATAATTTAGGGCTTTTCTTATTGAGTTTAAAAATTTGCGGGAAAAGAAGGTTATTCTAGGTTTTTCTTTGAGCGCTTGCAAATGAATCGGTTCTCCTCTACAAAGAATGCGCGCTTACAAATCAAAGCGGGATGATCAAAACCAAATCGCGTGCACACATGCTTGGAAATCGCCGCGCGCCGCTCCCTCCCAGGTGCTTATCCACAGGGTTATTACGAAGAAAAGGCTATCTTACAACTTCTTTCCCCCTTTTTTTTGTGTGTTTCTTCTCTGTGCGTGTTTGTGTGTGTTCTAATCGCTTCGTTTCCAGACTTTGAGGTGCAAGCCTCCCTTGGGTCTCGGCGTCGGCCAGTACTGGACGCCACAGTCGCCACCCACAATCTTCCAACTTCACAAAGATCACCAAGTAAGTTCTTTTGCTTTTTTTCTCTCGGAGTTGGTCTAAGCTATTTGCATACTTGTAGTTTGTGACGAGAAGATGGATGAATATCAAGGCCTCCAATTTCACGACTTCGCTTCCAGGACATAGCCGGATCCCGTTTCCAAAGGGCGTGTAAATCCCAGGCTTTGGAGGCGTCTACAGCACAACTTAGAAGGGTATTAGTACCGAAGGCTTCCATCTCAACTTACTTGGAACTTCTCTTCTTTTTTTTTTCTATACCAGGAATCTGGAGGGGTCGAACTTGTGGGGATCCTTGAAGTACGTGGGATTCAAATGGAAATGTCTGTAGTAGACTTGGACTTTCCATCCTTTTGGAAACAGGACACCTGCATAACAGAAGCTTGGTAAGTACTGTGATTAAATTTGCGAGAGGTTTAGTAGACCCGACCATCATGCTCGACGTCCTCGACTACTTCACGCGGCGAGAATGGTGCCACATTTGCCAGCCTCAGAGATTCTTGTACAACCTGTAAGTTTCATGCCAGGTTTGTTTTTTTCCTTCACTGAAAAGCTGCTTACCCTTAACGAGACTGGCATGTTTTTTATCTCGCTCCATGTCAAGGGACTCTCTGGATGTTCTCTTGCGCTCCTTATTTGGTCCTGCTCGTCCTGGAACGCCAGCAAAAACGGGGTAAGTTTTTCTAAGCGAAACAGGCAAAACCAATTTCGTTCTTCTTACTCTGACTTGTTCGAGAATATCTGGGTGTTCCGTAAGGTACTTGACGATCCACACGAGGAACACGGCCGTGGTTTCGTGTCCAGCAAAGAGAAAAGTGATGAGGATATCCCTGATCTCGTCGTCCGTGAACTTGGTACCTTGATCATCCTTTGAAGCCAAAAGCGACCCCAAGATATCACTGTAAGTAGTTGCCGTGTCGCTTTTCCTTCTTTTCACGAGGCTCGTTAAATCTGTCAGAATCTCCTTGCTTTTCTGCAGTTTTAAAGAAGCTCTCAGGGAGAACGTAAACACTGCGAAAGTGAAAGCGTACCTTGATAGCAAGATGGAATCCAGTTCCTGGGAAATTAATTGGCATCGAGATCGCGCCGTTGGAGAGGATTCCGTAACTATCCAGCAACCGCATCGACTCCTCGCATGGGGCCATACTACAAGTGATGCTGAGCGCAACGTGGAAGGCAAACTAAACAACATAAAAGATCATCAGAGGCTATCAACAAAGCTTTGCACGCATTCGAAAGCATCGACCGGACAGTGAAAACGAAATTGGCCGTGACTCCACGACCTTTACGGGAGCACAGGGACAGTGACTAAAGTGTGAATTCACAAACAAAACAATTTCGACAGCGGAAAAAGGCGACACCAGGCATGAAAGCGCTGTTGCTGGCTGTTTACCTTTCGAGTCTCGTCGTGGGTGACAACAAACTCCCGCTCGTTCCAGTCTTCCAGACACCATCTGCAAAGACTCTCGAACTTCGGAATGCTGTCCCGAATCGTCTCGGAGAGCATGGAGGACTGGACAATTTTCCGAATTCGCTGGTGGAAGGCTCCCTCCCAGGACGGATGGTTGAGGACTCTGTCAATGGACGGGGGATATATCGCCTTGAAAGACTTATGCTTGGTCGCAAGGATAAACTTGGCATGCTCCGGGGTGGACGTAATTATGGTCGGACTTCCCAGGATATGCGTCCTGTAGATCTCTCCGAACCTGCAAGCGTGAAGAGAACAGCATTATTCTCGAGTCGACTCTGCACAGACGAAGAAGCAGAAGGAGAAGACTCGAAACAGAATTAATCTGGAGGAAATGGTGGAAGATCAAAGTGGAGGACAGAAAGAACTGTTTTTTCTTTACCGTGCGTAACGCTCGCGGAAGAACTGATCCGGACTCTTGTAGAAGAAGTGGAGACTCTCGCCGAGCCAGGGAATGAACCACCAGCGGCCTCTGGGAATTTTACCACTGCCACTCTGGGCGATGTACAGGCTCCATTGCACCAGGAACACAGGAAACGTCAACAGCACTAAGGCACAAGCGATGAGGACTCCGATCAAAACCATGCTGCTGCTGCTGCCGCTCCTGCTCGAGAAAATTATGTGTGACTTTCACTGCCGCGCCTTTATCGCTTCGGTTAGCGCGGCGCGAGGTAAGACATAGCTGCTTTCTTTGCGACTAACACAAAGTTCGTGCGTGCAGCTCAGCTTCTCGGCTTGATAACAACGAGCAGCGTCGTCAACAGTTCATGCGCGTGTCATCCAACAACACCTACTGCATACAGACGCAAGACAAAATTCCTATCTGCCTATCGCCAAGCCGAAAGCTGCCTGTTGCTGTTGGACGTTAGAGTTCGAGAAAGCAACTCGTCAAGTAGGAAAAAGCAGAGACCAGGGAATGAACGCAAATCCAAAGAAGGCGAGGCAGCGCTTGAATCAAAGCTGCAAGCTGATGAGCCGCTGCCGCTGCTGCTGCTGCTGCGACTGCATGGTCTGAAAGGGAGAAGTTATTTCAACTCCGCCCAGCTCCAGACATATACGCATCAACCTGATCCAAGTTGTGCGTGCCGTCAGCCGGATATTTATGAAGAGAGCTTCATCAATACCACGACTCCTTCAATGGGGGCTCTGGACTGAGCAAAAAGAACTCGAGCAGAGACAAAGGCAAAGACGCGGCAGTGGTGAACAGGCCTAGCTCACATGGGCATTACCAGACGAGCAGCAGACACGTAAAAGAAAGAAAGCCGAGGGGGTGGACTCGTGAAGATGGGAAACAGTGCTAGCGAAGAACGCAACGGTGATAGTCGTCTTGTGCTGAAACAGAGCTCTGCGCGGCTGTGCTATACTGCCGGAGAGGTAAGTGTGTAAGTGTGAGAGATTGAGAGCTCTGCTAATGCCTCCTCTTATACTTTTCCAGGCTGGGCTTCTACGCGCTCGTCGATAGCAGCAGTGGCAACCAGTGGTTCGCTCGGCTTCTACGCGCTCGTCAATAGCTACGTACAAACAAGTCGCTGGTAGCCTTGCTAGCGTACAAACTTCGCAGGAATTACCAGGCACAAGAGCACAGTAGCCGCGCGCGCACGCACGCACTCCACAGTGTGAGTGCTTCGCAGGGTACGTTTAAAGCTGGTGATTTGCTCCTCATCTCGGCTTTAAGGCGGGATGAGCTCGAGTAAGCCAAGGTTGCTTAGGTGGCGACTCGTTGATTTTGGGCCGTGAGCTTGACAGGGAAGAACTTGTGCGACGTTTTGGAATCTTGACTCCTCCTGGATTGGCGTCGAAAAGCTTTGGCGTCAAAAAATGGGAGCGGGATTGCGATCGTGAATTGATCGAGAAAAGAGGAACCGACAGTGGAATTCGCTGTCCCGTCTAGATCTCTATTCCCGGTAATTGGCGCGGTTTTGTTTTTAAATTCGAATGTTTGAAATTTAAATGCGATTTGGCGCGCCCGCTATCTCCATCCCTGGCAGCGTGTGGTCCCCGGGCTTGTGGTCCGTGACCCGTGGCAGTGAGGCTCACGAGTCTGGTGTCCGGTCACAGCACACCCAATTTCTTTCCCCCGGCTCTGTCCTGGCCAAGGCAAATTCGCGGGCAAATTCGCGGGATTTCGATTTAATGTCGATTTCTTAGCTCGGGTTTGTCGATTTTGCTAATTCGATCCCTTCTCTCAAGTGGGCTGTCGATGGATTGAGCCCAGATCTCGGTTTGGGGGTCGGGTCCGATCAAAGCTTTTTCTTCGCGCTGTTGACACTAATGTGAAATGTGGAGGCCAGGAAGAGAGAGAGAGAGAGCGAGGCAAAAACAAAAGAAAGAATAGAAAATCCTTTCTTTGCTCGCCTCCCTCCTTCTGGACCAATGTCCAAATACAATGTTCCAACGCCAAGTGGGGTTCTTTCTCCTGGAAGAGCAATGATCTGGGCCGTCCGCTGATGATGAAGAGAGATAATCTGGGCCGTCCGCTGATGGCCCATCGCAGCCGTTGGTTTAAGCCTGGCACCTTTGTTAGTGGCGCATTGGCGAGGGAGCGCTATGGCCGCTACTAACGAAGCCTACTACGTCTCCAACCCTAGTTCCTGGGCTAGGGTTAGGGCTTACAGGAGGGAGCGATGGCGGAGGAGAGTGATTCCAGGCGCGCCAGCAGCGCCAGGAGGCCGCGCACGGATTTGGCCCGCCGGCGCCCACATTCGCAGCCCGATCGGCTGCTGACGGTTTCTCGTAGGAATTCTAGCGGCCCGGGGAAGATGGAGGGCGCCGGCGAGGAGGTTTGTAGGCCGAGCGAGGAGAAGAGCGTCAGGGTGTTCAAGCGCAGGGAAATTGGGACGTGTAACGAGGACAAGAGCAAGAACGGTAGGAATGGGGGGAAAACGAATGGAAAATCCAAGGCCGGGAGCGAGGAGAAGCCACCGGATGCAAAGAGACGTCGCCAGCGCTTGGTTCTCGAGGTTCGTATCCTTCGCTCCTTTCTTTGATCCTTTTCATCCTTTGCTTGTGGGCTAACTTTTGTCATTCTTTTTGTATATGAATCCAGGGCTCGGACGAGGACTCCGAACCGTCCGAGAAGAATGGCAATGGAAGTAAAGACTCTTCCAGCCCGAGCAAGCGAGCGGAGTCCAAACCGGTTGCCAAGGCCGCTCCGGAAGGCGTGGGGTTGAGGAAAAGCTCGCGAGTTGTGAAGAGACGCACCTTCGACGACGAGATAGACTTTGACGAGGTGATAAAACGTAGGAGGAGGCCGCCGCAGCAGGATAGTGCGAAGGAGGCTGCTGCCAAACAAGTTGACGAGAACACGGACAGTGCGGATGACGATCACCCGAGGAAGAAGCCAAGGAGAGGAAGCATTCAGGAGCTCCAGTCCGCTAGCGAAAAGCCAAAACAACGAGGTGGTTCGGTAGTAACTCAAGAGAATGCTGTGCCAAGGGAAAAGCCCCTGACTGCAAGACAAAGGGCCATGCAAGCGAAGGATAGCGGCATACTAGAACAACCAAGTACGTCTGGAAGAGACGAGGCTCAGAAGGTAGATTCTCCGAGCGATAGCGTGGACTCGAAGGAGAAAGCGACAGTGCCTTTGACGGCCAGGCAGAGGTCGCTTCAAGCATGCAAGGATGGCGACGGGAACTTTGGGCTCATTGAGTTTCCCGAGGGTCTAAATCATACTGATCGAAGTACGTCACTGGTCTTTTTGGTTCTTTGTCCTTTTTTTTTCCTTCATGGTAAAGTGTTTGGATGCAGGACGGAAAGCCAAACTTACTGACGAAGAAAAGCTTGCGAAGAAAGCTGAAGCGGCTAGCAAACGAAAACAGCAAGTAGAAAAGGCTGCAAAGGAGATACAGGTAACTTTATTTGCGTATCATGGACCAAAGTAAACCGATGTTTCTCTTATGCAGGCGTCTGCCATACAAAAAATCCTGAATCAGGACTCAAATAGAAAGAAAAGAGAGGAAAAAATACAAAAGCAAAAACAAGAACTGGCAGAGGTTTGTGATCCTTATCAGACTTTCAAGCTCGTAACTCGAGAAACTATGTGCAGGAAAAGAAAGCTGCTGAATTGGAAGTCGCTACTAACTCCGTTCGCTGGATTATGGGTCCTTCTGGGACTACGGTTTCGTGGGCTCAAGATGAGTTCCCAGCTCTTTTCTCTTCCGGGCCTATTAGGCAAGTCTTTTTCGAGGTACGAGTGGAATGACAATTTTGCTGTGCTTTTGCAGGTATCCCCCTCCTCGGGAAAAGTGCGCTGCATGTGATAATGCGTACAAATATCGGGATTCGAAGTCCAATCTGCCTCTTTGCAGTCTGCAATGTTACAAGGCAGTGCAACAACCATTGAAGCCGGCATTAGAAGTTTCTCCGGCTCAGTAGTTGTGATGAGGTACCATTGAAATTCATACTTTTTTCAGCTAAACGATCTAGCTGGTAGCACAGGCAAATTGTGGTTACGCAGACAAATATGTTCTAAAGAAAATCGAAAGTGATAGTACCTTGGGCGACACACGATTGTCATTCACTCGTTTTGGTTTGGACTAACTTGTTTGTTATAAGTTTGTTGCAGTGGCATATAAGGCTCGCTCTGGCCTTTCCAGTGGCCGTTGCTCCAGTGCTTTCAGATGAGCACTTCACTGCTGGTAGTCTTCTTCATCCTTACAAGGTAAGACAGCGAAGTTTTGTCTTTCGATAGACTGGCTAACAGCGAAATGACAGAGCGGCCGTCGCCGAGGATGCAGCTCCACCACTCATGCAGCCTATACAGGATTTTCCTCCCGCGTTTGATCCTCCTCCGCCTCCACAGCAGGACGGGGCTTCCACGGTTCGAATTTTTAACAAGGCCAACCCCTCGCTCTCGCTAACCGGTTTGTGGAATGGGAAAGTGGTGATGACGCTTGGAAACGGGACGATGCCTTACCAGGTCGGATGTTATACACGTTCTTTGCTCCTCCTTTTTGGCTCATCCTTTTCTCTTCCGCTTGCAGCAATGGTTTGTAGATACTTCGTGGGGGACGAGATTCACAGACGCGGTTGGCTACAAGGCCTTCATGCTGGTGAACAAGGCGACTGGCATGATACTCCGGCATGGCTATTTGGAAAACTCCGCGGTAAGCGAGCTTGGAACTTGATAGAGCACGAAGTTTACTCGTGTGTCTTTCCTTCTATATCTTACAGGTGAGTTGCGGGATCGTGAAGGGTGACTTGGTGGATAGCTTGTGGACGAGAGGCCCCGACTTACAGGGATTCCACACCATCAGAGCTTGCAGCAAAGTGGAGCTGATAATGGACGTGGAGCGCGCGGATATGAAGAAGCACATACTCTTGAAAGAAGGATGCAAAGTGGTGATGTTTAAGATGAGCCAGGAAGAAACGCAGTACTGGAGAATGGAAGCCATAGTTTCATCGAGCTAAGGAATGAAAAATTATAGATTTTGGAGTAACGTCCGATCAAATCTCTTACGTTAGAGTCCACATACGATGTACGGGAAAAAGATATCCTTGTCTACCGCAAGGTCTTAGCCTCCGTGGAGATAGGTGGTAACTGTCAATGGCTGTTGTTAACGTTTGCGGCCAGGATCCTCGCAAGCTCTTGGAATGGACGGCTGTCATTGCTCGTGCTCGCCACGAGCATAAAGCGAGAGTTCCTTTGGAACGATCCGGCTTCCTCGTTCCAGTGTCGAGAGAAAAAGAGAGAGTAGCGAGGATGATCCTGGAGGTTCTCGCGAGGAATGCTTTCGAGGAGTTTGCGGCGGGAATGCTCAAGCCGGTGGCAGCGCTGGCGATTGTCGGCATGGCTATCGCGCTCTCGCTCGTCCAGCGGCTTCAACTGGAGCAGGAGATGGTCACCTCCATCGCCAGAGCCTTCGTCCAGCTCGCCCTCATCGGCTTCATCCTCCAGTTCATCTTCGAGCAGAAGAACGCCGTGTGGATCTTCGTGGCTTACACCTTCATGGTAAGATCTCTTCTTTCTCCTGCTTGTTCTTCGTCTAGAGCTTGAGAAAGAAGAAAAGAATGGTACCTTGTAGGTGATCGTCGCGGGATACACGGCGGGGCGACGAGCAAGACACGTCCCACGAAGTCCATACATCGCTGGAATCTCCATCTTCATCGGCACTGGTGTTACGCTCGCGCTGCTACTGCTGCTTCGGGTGTTTCCACTCACGCCCCGCTACATGATCCCGGTGAGTGGAATGATGGTTGGAAACTCCATGACAGTCACCGGGGTCGCCATGAAAAACCTGCGAGACAACCTCAAGATGCAAATGAACCAGGTAAGTTCGGAAGGCTCGAGTGGAACCAGTTAGAACTAAGAAAACAAAATCACCTTTTGTTCTTCCAGGTTGAAACGGCTCTAGCTCTCGGAGCAACGCCGAGCCAGGCGATCAAGCGACCGATGAAGAGAACTTTGATACTGGCCTTGAGTCCCGTCCTGGACAACACGAAAACGGTGGGATTAATCTCGCTGCCTGGTGCGATGACGGGACTTATCATGGGTGGCGCGTCGCCGCTGGAAGCTGTGCGTCTCCAGATGGTGGTGATGAACATGCTCGTCGGGGCCGCTACTTTCAGCAGCCTTGTGGCCGCGTACTTGAGCTGGCAGTATTTTTTCACCAAGACCATGCAAGTCGAGACCAAGGTGTTCCTGGATGAGTGAAGTAAATGTTAGTTTCATGGAGAAAATCGCAGAAAACTTACAAAGACTTGCGAAACTTGGCGAGGATTTTGGGCTCTTTGGAACAAAGAAACCGATCCTTCACAGGCAGAAATCCAAGAGAACAAAGTGAAATTTCCACCGGACAAATGGAAATCGAATGAGAAGAAATAGTTCTCGACCGAAAGGCTGGAAGTTCTTATGAAACACAAGAAAGTTCTTACAAACAAAAGATTCCTGGCCAGTGCTAGGCGGCAGCTTGGGCTTCCTGCAAAAAATCCAAAAGCGAGAGGATAAGCAGGAATTTCTAGTTTGGAATCCTTCTAGTGCTGATGATACCTGCTGCTGGGCTTTCTCAATTATGCGCCTATCCCTGTCGTCCATGAGCTTGTCCCATTTATCGTTCCTCACGGGCTTGGGCTGCTCGATCCAATCCAAGAGAGATTTCACGGCCTACATTCTGGGAGACGAAGTGCTGCTTGCTTAACTTACCTTGCCCATGGTCTTGACATGAGCCATATGAGGAAGATAGCCCATGAGAAAGAGAGCGCCGCCAATGATGCCCATCGGGACCATGCTATGCCACCACGCCATAGCTCAAATGCCCTAATTCTTACATCTTAAAGCATTTTGAAAATTTCCAATTTTTTATGAATCAATAATTTGTAATTATAATTATAATAAAATTTTCTTACCTGATCAAAGAATTATTTATATTTTAATATATGTAAAATGTGAAAATCCCTATATTTAGAGTAGGAGTAATAAGATATAATTTTAAAAAATATTAATTTTAATGGGCTTATAATGTTTTAAAAACCATTTTTTTTATATTTCTAAGTAATGGAAACCACAATTATGAGTAGTTTTTATTACGCATTTCTAAGTCCTTCTAAAAATCTTCACTTCTTTTATGTAACATTCTTTTGTAAAGATGTTTTATATCTTGAAAAATATATAAATTTGCAAAAATATATTACTTATTATTTCTTTCATATAGGCTCTTTTAAAAGTTATATTTTAAATTTTCACATAAAAGTCTTTTACATCCTTATCCATAATTAACATTTGTATAATGTAATTTTGAAGTTTCTCAAAGATTTTATCTCCTTTAAAAGTTCAAATGGAGCGTAAAATGCAAAAATATTCATAAAGATATTATTGATATCAAAGAATTACAAAAAAAACATTTTTTTATATTCATCTTTAATAAAAAAAAATTCATTTGAGCTCATAAACATCATCTTCTCATAAACTTGATCTTTGAATATTCTTCAAGAATCAAACTACATTATCCATAACTTGTCAACTAATATCATGATCACAATAAATAATGGCAAAACACCAAGAATAGGACAAATTGTGTAATCATATCCCACAAAAGTTGAAAATGACAACACATCAAGGATGGGTACAACACCAACATAATTACAACTCATAACACCAAAAGTTCAATCTAACAAAGTAGCATTAACAACCTAAAGTGATATACTCCTTGATTAATGATTGCATGGCATGGTAGAAGAAGAGAATGCAATAAAGATCAAAAGAAAGAACATATTTATAGCTAAAATTCTAAATCTTGGAAAAAATTAATACAGATATAAATTTAAAAGAGAATGAAGAAATAAAAACAAAAAATACAATCCCAAACACTAGAGCAAAGCACTATTAAAAAGTTTTACCCTTCAAGGACAAATTGTAGTGCCTCTCATCTCAATATCGAAATAAATATATTAATTAGGGTTTAGACCCCTACTTATATACAAGAATGGATGGATTAAATTTAGTCCTAAATGGACGGTTAGGCAGGGTAATACATGTATATATATATATATATATATGTATTTGTAAGCCACAAATTTTTCCTTTCCAATTTGTTAACTTACCTCGTATATTTGACCACCACTGCCTTGGCCTTAGTTAAATTCCTTTGCCAAGGTTCCTATCTATTGTATTAACTCTTACTTGGTCTTGCTTAATTTCAGCAACTCACTATACGAATAATAAAGCATTAGCCATCCATCCATAGATTCCCAAATTTTCTCCAAATCCCCCTCTCCGATTAGACTGAACTTAAAGTTCAATTACACTCCCATAAGCATAAACAATCAAACACACCAAGCTTCCATGTTTCTAACATCTCTTAGTACAATAAAATTTGATTATGGGACCCTCTAAATCCCAAACCTTAGATGCAACATTTATTTTAGGGCACCGAAGGGAAAGATCATGGCCTAACAGCCTGATATAGATATTTCTACTCCCCCACTTCCATTCTGAAGGGAAGGCCCAAACCCCTAGGAAGGGGTGAGGATTAATGAGCCAAAAGGTACTCAAGTAGGGCACCACTCCACAAAAGTTAAGAACACCGTAATCAATTTCTCTTTCGAGAATGAGAGTTGCTTTTGAGCATTTCCTTGGGTGGCCCCTCCAACACTACTCGAGCTCATGCTCACTCCTACTTAAGGCCCCTAAACCCTAGTCTTAACCTCAAATCAGTTTAGAAGCATTATTGAATAGTTCCTTTAAGATTTATTATACTTTTGGAACCCTTTACAGTTGCCTCCCTCTCGGGAGACACATGCTTTCGGCTTTTACCCTGCAATCTGTATTAGTATTCAAACTTGGTCTTGGACTCGACCTTGAACTTGGTCTTGAACTCAATCTCGAACTCACTCTTGGACCTAACCTTAGACTCTATCTTGGAATTGATCTCAGCCTTGGTCTCAAACTCAATCTCAAATTTCGGACTCGAACTCAATCTTGGTCTCAAACTCAGTCTTAAACTTGGTCTCAGAGTTGGTTTTAGACTTGATCTAAAACTCAGTTTCATGTGATAAATTCTTTATCATTTCGGTTGTGCTTTCAGGGATCTTTTACCCTTTGACACCTCGGGGAGTTGGTTCTTTATACAAACTTTACAACTATAAATAAGTTTAAAGTTTTTAATGTTTGGGTAAAATAATTTAGTAACAATAATAAATCTTGTTTAGAAGTGCAAAACCAAACTCTAAGCTGGTAAAAATAAATTCAATGACCCAAAACATTTTAGAAATTGGATAGTATACAAGAAAATATTAATTATAATATTTAACTACTATTTCATTATTTTACACTTCAATTTCATTGATCTCTTGTATAAATTGAACTGTTTATCTAAAGATGTATTAAAGTAGTGGAAAGAGGAAAAATTAATAATCTTTAGACACAAAACAAATAATTTATATATTTTAAGCACTTCAAAAAATTTAAGTGACAAATGGAGTTATTGAATTTTATTAAAACTGGTATCATTTATTATTTTCTAAAGATAATTCATAGTTGTGACCAAATTATAGTTTTATTGGTTTTCAAAACATAAAAAATTTATTTATACTAATTTAATTAAGAAAAATCAAATTAGAAAAAATTAATAGCAGAAAATTACAACCATTAGATTGAAGAATATTCTAAAGTATACACATATTCTAGATAAATTTCTTATGCAAACAAAATAATAGTAATAATGACGTAAGTAAGATTTTGTCAAGTAGTGGCCCACTTCAAACATTAGAGGTAATATCTAAAACATGGGCAGGGCAGGAACTCCCACATTGTCAACACAGAGTGCCGGATCCCATTGCAACTGCTGTGTTTCATGGAACCTTCTCCAAGCCTATCCATCCTTTAAATACTTTCACAACCATCTCACAACTCAAGGAAAGAAAGAGGTCACTCTTCTAATTCTTAGCATTGCTCTCTTGTTTGTTTCCTCAAGTTCCAGGGGTCACTCAAGAACACGATGATGATCACACTCTTCCAATTTCTCGTCATTGCGGCACCAATCTTCCAGGTGATCACAGCCTCCGACGCCGATCCCCTCCAGGACTTTTGTGTGGCCGACCTCGCAAAGGACCTCACTCTCAATGGCTACCCTTGCAAGCGAGCAGCCAACACCACCACTGAGGATTTCATCTTCTCGGGCCTTCGAAACTCCGCAAACACCAGCGGCCCATCGAGAGCCGACGCGGTGTTTGGCTTCGTCCACAGTTATCCGGGGCTCAACTCTCTCGGCCTCTCCATAGCCAGGCTCGACTTTGCTCCCGGCGGTCTCATCCCTCCACACACGCACCCACGAGGCTCAGAGATCATCTACGTCGTGGAAGGGAGCTTGTACGCCGGATTCGTCACCACCCAGAACCAGCTCTTTGCTCGGGTCATCTCCAAAGGCGACGTGATGATCTTCCCGCGGGGTTTGATCCACTGGCAGCTCAACGTCGGTAACACCACCGCCATGGCCATCGTGACGCTGGATTCGCAGTCACCGGGCTTCCAGCTTATCGCAAGCTCCATGTTTGGATCGGACATCCTGGACGAGGTGCTCGTCAAGACCTTCTTTATTGATGAGAATGCGGTCCGGCAGCTCAAGGCGACGTTCTCTGGCTCCTCCTAAATAGTTCACTTGAAAGTAAAAATAAATTTTGTACGGTAGATTTTATGGAAACTTGATCGTTCTTTCTTTCATTTTCAACACGTTAACTTCACTGACGTTTGTCGACTTTGTCGCTTAGTTTATTTTTCATGTGCATAAATTGACGTGGAGGAGATGAGTGTGTTGTCAGGATCCAGCGCAACTGTCATCCTCCCCTCGAGCACAGCGTCCTGCAGCGGCAGGAGCGTCACACTCTCATCATATTTTAAAGGTTTATTTAGGAAAGGTCCACAAAGTTGAAATATTGTCTCACACTTTTGAAGATGATAAATTTCTTCTTATTGACCTTATCTAGCACATTTTATATAATTTTTAGTACACTATTGATTTCTTTAAGATTCTCCGATTTGAAACTGGCCAGCAAGCAAATCCAACAAAAGTACACCACTGCCATTCCGGCCGCAAGGAAATGTGCTACTGGAAGACCAAAGGGGGATTGTCCAAGTACTGGAATCGTGATTTTGATCACATGATGTCTTTTATTATACGTTCCACACTCTAGCACAGAACGGTCTGGATAGGAAATTAGAGGCCGGGGGATTGGTTGGACGATGCAAACGATTGCGAAATGAAGGGAATTTTAGGATTGTTTTATATAAAACATCTAAACTTTCTAAACTTCACACTCATATTTTAACCTTTAAAGAACTCACTGGAAGTCAAGATCATTTGAAACTAGAAAACTATTGGCAGGCTGACGTGTCAGTTGTGCAGAGTTTTTGGGGAGCTAGGCGTGGCAAAGGGGAGGCCGATGGAGCTTTGGAAATGCGTACAAAGATTATTTCGACAAAGAATGCATACACCGAAGATCAGAAACTTGTGGATCTAAAACAGATGTAAATCATGGCGTGTCAAGCAGGACCTTCCACATTGTCAACACATTGCACCTTCCATCCTTCGTGGAACTTCCACATTGTCTTGGCACCCACGCCTTTCCATCCTTCAAATACCATCTCACAACTCAAGGTACTTCTCAAAAAAGAGATTTTAATTCTTCTCACAATCGTTTGTTTCCTCAAGTTCAAAAACACGATGATGTTCACAGTCCTCCAACTTCTCGTCATTGCGGCACCAATCTTCCAGGTGATCTTAGCCTCCGACCCCGATCCCCTCCAGGATTTTTGCGTGGCCGACCTCGCAAAGGACCTCACTCTCAATGGCTACCCTTGCAAGCGAGCAGCCAACACCACCACCGAGGATTTCATCTTCTCGGGCCTTCGAAACTCCGGAAACACCAGTGTCCCATCGAGAGCCGTGGCGACATTTGGCTTCGTCAACGATTATCCGGGGCTCAACACTCTCGGCCTCTCCATAGCCAGGCTCGACTTTGCTCCCGGCGGTCTCATCCCTCCACACACGCACCCACGAGGCTCAGAGATCATCTACGTCGTGGAAGGGAGCTTGTACGCCGGATTCGTCACCACCCAGAACCAGCTCTTTGCTCGGGTCATCTCCAAAGGCGACGTGATGATCTTCCCGCGGGGTTTGATCCACTGGCAGCTCAACGTTGGCAACACCACCGCCATGGCCGTGGTGACGCTAGATTCGCAGTCACCGGGCATCCAGCTCATTGCAAGCTCCATGTTTGGATCGGACATCCTGGACGAGGTGCTCGTCAAGACCTTCTTTATTGATGAGAATGCGGTCCGGCAGCTCAAGGCGACGTTCTCTGGCTCCTCCTAAATAGTTCATGGTTTCATATAGAAACTTAGCAAAATAATAACAACCATCTCAACATAGCCCAAGTGGCACATTTGCAAAGGTGACATGATGAAGTTGGAATTTGCACCTTCACCACTGCTTCAGCCACCAATTCCCTCGTGCAAAACAATTAGGATAAAGTCTTGCTTGCCCGGTCAACTCATAGTCAAAATTGATTTCCGAATGATGCTTTGAATTCGGTTAATGAAGCAAGATGGCGCAGGTAAACAAAACCATAATCTTTACAAAGCATGTTAACCAGGTGCCATTGTCGAGGACGTGTTCAAGTTTGCCTCTGGGTGGATGATGTTTGCCTCAGGGGTGTCAATCTCTCAAGCTCCTTATCATCTGCCAGGAAGCACAAGAACAACTTACTGGGACCAATGCCAAAAACAAAGGTGTCCACAAAGCTGTGTTTGTGAGGCGTAAAAATGTGGAAACTTTTATCCTTTGTAGCCACAGGCGCTGGAAACAAATGCGAAAAAAGCCGTGCTCTCAAACTCCAAGCCAAAAGAGAGGTTGTATTTCGTCAAAAGTCTATCTCGACAAAAGCACACAGCCATGCAATTTCAAGCGCAAACAAACTATCAGTAAGTCGAAAAGAAAGAATGCAAGCAAGCAAGCAGGCTATTAAACATGCCTATACAAAAATAAATAATGCAGGAAAAATGCTGGGTAGAGAGGTTGAGGGACTTGCTGTGGAATTGACTTTGCAGCCCGCAGCTCACTTGGCTTTCGTTTAAAAAGTTCAAATGGTGATAAATATTGTAGTGCATATGATCATAGGATAAAATTTAAATATACTATCACTATAGATTTTTGGAACCTTAAGGATAAATAGAGATAAAATAACTATGAAAGACTATCTCATCAAGTAATTACCCTTTTTTCAATTAGTTTAAGGGGAGAGAGATAGAATGCATTATAGTATCAGAGTAAATGAATATAAATTTGATTCCCATTGATTAGTGGCTAATTAAAATATAATATACCCTTGAACAAGGTTATGAATGTGACTGTAGATATTAAAAGTTATCTATCAGTTAATTCTTTTTCCTTATTGCCACAAGCAGAAGGTTGATATTGCTGGACCCTTTATCAATCCCTTTTATGCTAGTGGAATTAACAAGGTATTTCAAGTGTATTTAGACTAGACGAGCATAAGGATGAAATTCTTATGTGCTATTAATTAAGCATACTTAGTTTGGTAAAAAGTTCCTATCTCATTATGTCTTACATTAGCTAGCAACAAAAACCCCCATGTATTGAGATTAATCCTTTAATATCACTAGATGATAGTTTATTATGTCTACCAAAGACTCTTACTATCATACCCTAAATTTGAAATTATACATATATATATATATATATCCCAATATATATTTCTATAGTACCCTTTTTCAATTGAGGGTGCATTACAATATAAAGAATGAATTATTTTTATTTTTGCAATTCTTTGATATCAATAATATCTTTATGAATATTTTTGCATTTTATGCTTAAGTACTCAAGATAGGTATATTGATTAGGGTTAAACTTATATACAAGAATGGATGGACTAGATTTAATCCCTAATGATCTATATGCTATAGTACTATAATTAATGTATTATGTAGCCAAGGTAATACACACAAATTTTATTAAATAATTTTCATATTTAATAAAAATATTTTTCACATTGTTCTACATTACAACCATTCCTATGATTTTTGTATGATTTTTACCATATATCGCTGTGGATAAGTTTAAATTTTTTAATGCTTGGGTGAAATAATTTAGAAATAGTAATAAATCTTGTTTAGAAGTGTAAAACAAAACTCTAAGTTATAAAAAAAATTTAAATGATCCAAACCATTTTAGAAATTGGATAGTATATAGAAAATATTAATTATAATTTTTAACTACTATTTCATTATTTTGCACTTTAACTTTATTGATCTTTTGTATAAATTGAATTGTTTATCTTAGAATGTACTAAAGTAGTGGAAAGAGAAAAAATTAATAGCCTTTAGACACAAAACAAATAATCTATACATTTTAAGCACTTCTAAAATTTTAGGTGACAAATGGAGTTACTGAATTTTATTAAAACTGGTATCATTTGTTATTTTCTAAAGATGATTCATAGGAGTGACAAAATTATAGTTTTAATGGTTTCAAAACATAAACACATTATTTATACTAATTTAACTAAGAAAATTCAAATTATAAAAAGTTGAATGGCAGAAAAAATTACAACCATTAGAATGAAGAATATTCTAAAGTTACAGATAAATTTGTTATAAAATATTAATAATAATGACGTAAGTAAGATTTCTTCAACTAACGCTGCAAAGATTTAGTGGCCCACTTCAAAGGATACAGGAAGTAATATATAAAACGTGGGCAGAGCACCATCAAACACAGAGTGACGGATCCCATCGCAACTGCTGTGTTTCATGGAACCTTCTCCAAGCCTTTCCATCCTTTAAATACTTTCACAACCATCTCACAACTCAATCAAAGGAAGAGGTCACTCTTCTAATTCATAGCATTGCTCTCTCGTTTGTTTCCTCAAGTTCCAGGGATCACTCAAGAACACAATGATGATCACACTCCTCCAATTTCTCGTCATCGCGGCACCAATCTTCCAGGTGATCACAGCCTCCGACGCCGATCCCCTCCAGGACTTTTGTGTGGCCGACCTCGCAAAGGACCTCACCCTCAATGGCTACCCTTGCAAGCGAGCAGCCAACACCACCACCGAGGATTTCATCTTCTCGGGCCTTCGAAACTCCGGAAACACCAGCGTCCCATCGAGAGCCGTGGCGACATTTGGCTTCGTCAACGATTATCCGGGGCTCAACACTCTCGGCCTCGCCATAGCCAGGCTCGACTTTGCTCCCGGCGGTCTCATCCCTCCACACACGCACCCGCGAGGCTCAGAGATCATCTACGTCGTGGAAGGGAGCTTGTACGCCGGATTCGTCACCACCCAGAACCAGCTCTTTGCTCGGGTCATCTCCAAAGGCGACGTGATGATCTTCCCGCGGGGTTTGATCCACTGGCAGCTCAACGTTGGTAACACCACCGCCATGGCCATCGTGACGCTGGATTCGCAGTCACCGGGCTTCCAGTCCGTTGCAAGCTCCATGTTTGGATCGGACATCCTGGACGAGGTGCTCGTCAAGACCTTCTTTATTGATGAGAATGCGGTCCGGCAGCTCAAGGCGACGTTCTCTGGCTCCTCCTAAATAGTTCATGGTTTCATATAGAAACTTAGCAAAATAATAACAAGGATCTCAACATAGCCCGAGTGGCACATTTGGAAAGGTGACGTGATGAAGTTGGAATTTGCACCTTCACCACTGCTTCAGCCACCTTTTCCCTCGTGCAAAACAATTAGGATAAAGTCTTGCTTGCCCGGTCAACTCATAGTCAAAATTGATTTCCGAATGATGCTTTGAATTCGGTTAATGAAGCAAGATGGCGCAGGTAAACAAAACCATAATCTTTACAAAGCATGTTAACCAGGTGCCATTGTCGAGGACGTGTTCAAGTTTGCCTCTGGGTGGATGATGTTTGCCTCAGGGGTGTCAATCTCTCAAGCTCCTTATCATCTGCCAGGAAGCACAAGAACAACTTACTGGGACCAATGCCAAAAACAAAGGTGTCCACAAAGCTGTGTTTGTGAGGCGTGAAAATGTGGAAACTTTTATCCTTTGTAGCCACAGGCGCTGGAAACAAACGCGAAAAAAGCCGTGCTCTCAAACTCCAAGCCAAAAGAGAGGTTGTATTTCATCAAAAGTCTATCTCGACAAAAGCACACAGCCATGCAATTTCAAGCGCAAACAAACTATCAGTAAGTCGAAAAGAAAGAATGCAAGCAAGCAAGCAGGCTATTAAACATGCCTATACAAAAATAAATAATGCAGGAAAAATGCTGGGTAGAGAGGTTGAGGGACTCGCTGTGGAATCGACTTTGCAGCCCGCAGCTCACTTGGCTTTCGTTGCCCTGTCACAACCTCAAGAATTAAGACTGTTCTTGTTCTGAATTGATTGCAGTTTGAGAGCTTACTGGTTGGTGTTCTTTGGAGAAACAGGACTTCGGCTGGGACTGCTGCTAGTAGCTCTACAATCAAAGAGAAAGTTAGTGGAAAGCGCCAACAGCGAAAGGATACCTCTTTGGACTTCTGCTTCTCGTAGATTTCCTTGCTCCCCCCCGGACAGGTGATCTCTGCTTTTGCAGCAGTGAGAAAACAAAACAGGATTGAGAAGTATTACAGCTACTTACTCTTCTCACTGGACTAGGAGATCCGGATGAGTAGGAGCTTGACCTGCCCCGCCTGTTTGGTGGTGATCTTGCTCTGGAAAGACAGTATTCTGTTAGCCAGCAAGAATTTGAAGCAAGGAAAACAAACCTTCTAGGAGCCGAACGCGATCTGGAACGCGATCGCATCATCCGCCTTGGAGGCGAGCGCATACGCCTCGGTGGAGGGGTCCTTGAACGACGTCGAACTGGGGAAGACCTCCGTGGTGGTGTACGTCCTCGCCTGACTGGAAGTGGTGACCTGGTTGCGAATAGCACAGCGGTAAAACCTCAGAACACATAAAGCTTTTCTATTGCATACCTGCGCCTGTAAGGAGCTGGCGATCGCTGACGACCCATAGGCCTTCGTATTGGGCTCCTGCAAATTCATATAGCGCATTAGAATCACGATGAGGACGGCCGAGAGAAAATTTACCTGTTTGGAGACCTCCGTCGCCTTCGGAATCCTGGTGAAGGTGACCGTCGCCTTACCGGCGACGAAGCTGGTGGCCTTCGTCGCGGTGGCACAGCGTCTCGTTTTGGAGACACCCCTCGTGCCGGGGATACCTTTCTCGTGAGCTTTACACTGATAACGAGTCCATCGACTTGAGCCTACAAACAAGGAAAAAAAAAGTGTAAGTCCCACACACAGGAAAAAAAAAAAGAAAAAGAAAAAGAATGCCAACCCCATCCATGAACTGTTGAGCTTTTTCAGCATCCGATTTGCTCTTGTAATCCACGTATGCAAATCCCTTTGGAAGATTCACCTGGAAAGAGGGGAAATTTAGAAGAAAATAAAGAGAAGCCTACGCGAGAATGCTGTCAGGAAGAAGTGTTCTTTATCCTTACCGTCTTGTCCATCGCAAGATCCACAGCAATAATATCCCCATAGTTCCCTACACAAAGCAAAAAGATCAAGTTTTGAGCGCTAGAACCCGTGGGAGCCTACCGAAAATCTCCTTGAGATGGGACTCGTTCACATTCCTCGAGAGCTGGCTCACGTGCAAGCGGCTGGAATCCTCGGCCGGCTTGGCCAAGCGCTTTCTAGGGCTCCGGCTCCGCCCGGAACTGGCGCTCGTCCCGGACGACGACGCAGACCTGGATCGCGAGCGGGAGGAGCCCGAGTAGGAGCTAGATCCCGAGCGCGCCGGCGAGGACGATTTCGGCTTGACAACCTTGGTCGCCATTCCCTCCGTCCCGTGCGCCAAAACCTCGAAAACCCTAAACCTAAAACCAAGAAACGAAATTTAGGGCAGACTTGTCGAGAGTGGGGGTAAATGGATTCGAACCGCGGACGTGATTAAATACCGCTGTTGGGATTCGAAGCCCCGACGTTTACACGCGCAACACGACACCACACTTTTCGCCTTTGTCGAACGCTTTTGTTATGGATGGGCGCCAACAAACGCGAGCCCATCTCTATCGAACAAAACAAGCCTAGAGAAGAAACAAAAAGATATGGAGAGAGGGAAGAAAATTTAAGGCAAAGAAGAAGTTGTAACAATCGATCGAGCAAAGCATTACTTTTTTATCGATCGAATCGCAACTGGGCAGCCCAGATTCCCCCCAATGCTCTGTGTAATCAATAAAACTAGAGCGCATCCAAGAGACAAATTGACAAGAGAGGTGGTGGTATTGTTCTTTGATCACGATCGCTTGGAAGAACACAAAAAAAACATAGAATTTTTTTTTTTTCTTGGAGTGGCCCTACAGAACAAAATCGACACGCACTCGAGAACAAACACGCTTTTGGAGGTGTGTGTCAAGTTTGTGCTGTGGGAAAAAGAGAACTCCTCTCCCTCTCACAATCTGGAAGAAAGTGAAAGAACTTTAGCTACGAACAAGAACAACCAAGAGAAAGAGAAAGAAAAGTCTTGCCCGGCTCGTCTCACAAAGCTTGTGCTGCCGATCCATGGATGGAAGAATCGAAGAGCTGGAGCATCAATTCACGCCGGAGAGCTCTAGCGCAGCAGCGGCATTTGGAACCAAGTAGCGCTGATCAGCCTTGCGGGAGGATTTGCAGAGGAGCTTGAGCGGCGAGCCGTGGCAATTGCTGTATCGTCGACCCAATCTCTCGTAGCAATCGATGGAGAAGAGCGAGAGCGAGAGATGGACTTCGTCTTTGCTCCACTTCTCTTGCTGCTGGACGCTCGCCTTGGCTGGAACCGAGGAGGAGCGTGACAAGAGGGGCCGGAGGCAAAGAACGTAGAGGCGGCGGAATCCCCCCAGCGCAAGAACCACAGACCTGAGCTGCGACGCTTGCGACGAGGCGCCGCTGGCGCTGGACCAGTTGATCGTGCACACGTTCTCCCACAGCGTCTCGTCCTCGGCGGCGCGCCTCCACCGGCGATTGACGCACGCCGCCATGGCCAGGGCTTTGGCGTCGAGGTGCTTGAGGATCTCGTAGAACATGTCGTCGTCGCGCTCCACCTGTGAGATCACCGTCGGCGGCTGCGACATTGCAATCCGCCACTCCAATTCCCCCGAAATCTCGCAAATCCGCGGTTTCTTGCCTGGATTCGCGAGCATCCCGGGCCGATCGAATCGATGGAAGCCGCAAGATCGATCAAATGCAGCTACCGGCGCACGAATCAGCGATCCATCCCCTGTTCTTGCAACGAGAAGTTACCAGAATCCGGGGCGAGAGGAGGGATCCGAGGCCTGGAATCGGCGAAAATCTCCGAGGCGGAGAGAGAGAGAAAGAGAGAGAGAGAGGAAGAAATTTTGCTCTTGGCGGAACAAGAGCCCTAAATCTCGGCCGTTAAATGGCGCAAGAAGCATCCAGCGGTTACAATGCAAACGCGTCACTCCATCAAGAAATGTCAACGACTGTAGCTTACAATTAATCAGCCCATTAGCCACAAACTTACAAGAAGCCCACGCGTATGTATTGGCGGTCGTGTATGTATAATAATACTCTTCGCCGAGGGAATCAAACACGCCGATGCCCCCCTTGGTTCTCTTCGTCGAGGGTATATGCCTGATTCTAGAAACCACCTGGCCGGTACTTGATTCCCCACGTAGAAGCCCTTGTCCCGCAATAAGTTAGAGCTTCCAAGCTGTCACCACTAGTACCGCATTTTGTGGCAGGACCACGCCAGCTGGGTGTCCACGTCGGCAGCCGGTTGTACTGCCGAGTACCACTGACTAGAAACTAAAACCGTTTTGTCTGCCACGCAAAAAACACAGCTGACAAAAACACTAACAAATAATAATTTTTCCAATTTTCAAATAATATTTTGTGAGATAAGTTGGAACTGCAAGACGTGTGGAAGAGAGATAGAATTTCGAGAGTGACTGCTTGGAGTGTAGCGGTTGTTCATCCCCACAAAAGAGAAAAAAAGCGAGTAGAAAAAGAGGATAAAAACGATGGTTTCATGGACTGTTGCTAGATTGAGTGAATGAGAGAAAGGACAATGGTTGCTCGTCAGGAAAGAGTGGCGTTTTGTCGGCGTCTACTATAGAAGGGACGAATCGACCTCCTATAAGTAGAATTAATTGATAAAACCCACGATTAGATTAACTAAAATTTTTATTATAACAGATTAACTTGTATTAATTGAAGTTTGTTTAGTCCACTCCAAAGCTTACACCAAGCTTTTTCTCGAGACACTAAAGCTTTGGAACGACTTGGATGACCTCTTCTTTTGTTTTTCTTCTCAACCTCCACTTATGTCGGTGTGGACGATTAGTTCCTCTGGTCTACATCATATCTTTCTCGAGTCGTCTCACTAGCAAAGTCTTGATTTGCCCGAGTCAAACCCAGATTTGGCCACCTTTTCGGTCTTATAGTATTTTGGTTGGCATTGCTTTTGTGTCCTGGAATGTTGAAATTGTATGACAGTGAAGGTTTTATAGAAGTTTTCTGAGGTGTGATGACAGTATTTTTTGTCTTATTGATATTAATAACAACAATATTTGAGAAAAAAAAAAAACAAAAGAAGTGGCAGCTGCGATGCACACTCATCAGAAATTATGGTGCACGCGAAACATACCACTCTTGTCCTCACACAAAATCTGACACAAGAAAACGAGACGAGCTTGACAAACACTCCACGACTAGCTGTTATCTGGAAACTTGGAAGCATTTGTATATATATAATTAACAACACCTTATGAGATTCTAATTATTTTGTTCTTTCTTTTTCTATAATTTTCTTAAGCCAAGTCTGCGAGCGCATAGCTTCGTTCCACGGCCTTGCACCACGAAGTATAACGCTTTTCGCGCTCCGGCTCCGCGATGCTTGGCGTGAAGGTCTGGCCGACTTCTTCATCGGCCGTGAAGATCTGCTCTTCCTTCCACAATCCGACTGCCAAACCAGCCGCATAAGCAGCGCCTAAAGCCGTTGTTTCAATGTCTTTGGGCCTCACTACGTCAGTTCCTAGAAGATCAGCCTGGAAAAACCATGCACAAACTTTAGCTTGAAAGTTTCAAAGAGTGAAAGGAAAATCAGCAAAGTCACGCAAACTAATGAAGAGAACACTCCAACTTTCCAGGAATGAAACGAAGAAAACAAGAGAACATCAACTTCCAAGCACCACTAGAGAAAGAGCTTGTTACCTGGATTTGCATCAGTAGATTGTTGACAGTAGCTCCTCCATCGACGCGCAGTACAAACTTCTCCTTGTGCTCCACCTTTGCGTCCTTGAGCATCGAGTCGAGCACTTCCTTCGCCTGGAAACACATACTCTCCAGAACGCTCCGTGCGAGATGTCCCTTGTGAGTGAACCGCGTGATCCCCACGCAAACTCCCCTCGCATCGTCCCTCCATCTCGGAGCATACAAGCCGCTGAACGCCGGAACGAAGTATACTCCCCCGGTGTTCTCCACGGTGCTAGCCAGCGCTTCTATCTCCGACGCACTCTTGATGATCCCAAGGTTGTCTCTGAGCCACTGCACTGCTGCTCCGGCGATGGCGATCGATCCTTCCAACGCGTAACAAGTTGGCGCCTTTGGCCCGAGCTTATAAGCCACGGTCGTGAGAAGCCCGTGCGTGGAAGGCACTACTTCTTCGCCAGTGTTGAGCAGGATGAAGCAGCCAGTTCCGTAAGTGCTCTTGGCCTCTCCCTTCTTGCAGTGCTGGCCGAGCATTGCCGCGTGCTGATCGCCCAAGCAACCTGCGAGTGGAACTCCGGCCAGGGGCCACCCCTCGCAAACTTTTCCAATAACTTCCGAGTTGCTGATGATCCGGGGAAGCATGTTGTAGACGTGAGGCAGCAAGTCGATCGAGATCCCCAAGCTCTCGAGGATGCCTTTGTCCCAGCTCAAAGTCTTGAGATTCATGAGCATTGTTCTCGCGGCGTTGGAGCAATCGGTGACGTGCAAGCCTCCGGAGATACCCCCGGTCATGTTCCAGATGAGCCAACTATCGACCGTGCCGAACAAAGCGTCCCCGGCGAGCACGGCCGACTTAACCTCTGGGACCGTCTCTAGCAGCCACAGTAGCTTCAAAGCACTGAAGTAAGTGCTTATGGGAAGTCCACAGCTTTCCACAAAGTGTTTGCTTCCACCGGAGAGATTCTCTTCCAAGCGTCTGCCAAGAAAGAAGATAAGAAATCACTAAAACACGACAAAACAAACAAACGAGAAAGAAAAAAGAAATACTTTAGGCTTTCCAGATCGAGCTATGGAGGTATTGAGGAAGAACGAGAAAAGAAAACGTTTCAGCCTTCATAGATCCAACAAACGAGAAAGAAGGTAAGAACTTGCTAAAAAACGAGAAAACAAACAAACGAGAAAGAAGATAAGAACTTACTAAAAAACGAGAAAACAAACAAACGAGAAAGAAAAAAAACATACTTGAGGCTTTCCAGATCGAGCTATGGAGGGAAGAACGAGAAAAGAAAACGTTTCAGCCTTCATAGATCTAACAAACGAGAAAGAAGAAAGAAAAAAATGCTTGAAGCTTAGCTATTAGGCATCGAGGAAGGACTTACTTGCAAATGGAGCTCGTTCTTCCATCCATCCAGACAATGGCATTGTACAGTGGCTTGCCAGTGCTCTTGCTCCAAATGATGCTCGTCTCCCGTTGGTTCGTGATCCCGATAGCTTTCACGGCGAAGCTAAGACCCTTGCTCGCGGCCTTGTTGAGAGTTTCCTCCATGCATACCTTGACAGACTTGAGGATTTCCAAGGGATCATGCTCCACCCAACTGAAAGAAAAATGAGAGGGATCGAGCGATCCAGCTCCTGATACTGCGAGATTTCACGAGCACTCACCCGGCCTGGGGATAGATTTGCTCGAATTCCAGCTGATGCGAGGCGACCGGCTTGGCATCCTGGTCGTAGAGGATGAATCGCGTGCTCGTCGTCCCCTGATCGATCGCGGCAACGAATGCGGCGGCATCGCCCATTTTTCCAAGCAATCTTCCAAGCAAGAAAGACCGGGATCGACCTGGGGGTCAAAATAGACAGGGGCCCAAAGATAGGGCACACAAGTCTGAATAGAGCGTTTTATTTAATTATTAAAACCTTGCAATAATATACTCTCACCACCTTTTGCCTTTTTAAAGTGTTGAGGTTCTGATAAGCTACATAACTAAAGTGAGGTTTTGACAAAATACACTAGGTATTCAAATATATAATGCCACCCACACTTGAATTAGGAGTATTAACTATTTGATCATCTAAGGAGCTAAAGCTAATTTTTAAACACTTTATTACATTACTCTGCTTCTTTATCCATATTTATTTTAGTTTTGAATTCTTCAATAGTTATATCATTATTTAACACATGGGCTTTCCTTCATCACATTAGCCTTTCTTAACCAAAATACATAAGCTTTCCTAGCCAAACTGGCTTTACCCTTTACTATACTTTTTAAAACTTCTGAAATTTAGGGTTCCTCGAGAAAAGGACAAAACCTTGTGAAGCCCTAAAAGACAGAGCACATTGCGGTTAGGGTTAGGGCATGGCAGCAGATCGCGAGGCGGAGATGAAGGGATCGCAAGGCGCCGCTCCCGCGCCGCCCAGCGCCGCCGCCGCAGAGCCTGTGATCGGGGTTCCCTACGCGTATCCGCCCTCCGCGGGCGCGATCCCGGCGAATGGAGTGATCTATCCGCCTCTGGTGGCTCCGCAGCAAATGCCGCCGCCTCACTACCAGGAGCAGCAGCATTTCCTGGGATCGGTGCCCCCGAATGCGATCGTCGGGCACCCGAATGGGATCCCGCTGCTGGAGACGGTGTTCGGCGACACTCCGGCTCCATTTGTGTGCAGTCACTGTGGAACCGCGGGTGTGACGAGGATCAAGTGAGTTTTGGGAGATCTTAGTTTGGTGTTTGGCTCATTTGCTTGTTTGCTTTGCTTCCAACTTTCAGGTCCAAGATCAGCTTGGCTACGTTTGTGGCGTGCTTGATCTCGTGTGGAGTTTGCTTCCTGTGTCCTTCGTGCGATTGTCTCTGGCACAAGGAGCATTTTTGTCCAAGCTGCAGTACCAAGGTTTGGTGTCAAAGCGCGTTCTTGCTCTGACTTTTTCTCCTTCCCTTATGCCAGGTTGCTGAATTCACCAAGTCGGATCCCTGTGCCGTGATTGACCCAATGCAATGGTTGCAACCAAGCTACGCGATTCCAGCATAGACTCTGCTCCTCTGCTTTTTGGTGTGTATACTTGTATAGCTCTTAACTTGGATTCTGAAAGCTTCAGACTCTAGAACAAAGCTCTGGACGCAGTCGGATTCTGCGACATGCTTTGATTAGTGATCCTCTGGTTGGGCAGACAATCTCAAGTTGAAGTGCATGCCAAATCCTCCAAGTCAAAGACTGGACCAGTGCCCATCTAGAAATCACTCAAATCGTATGTCCTTGTGAAGCTAATTCCCCGAACTTGTAGATTTCTTCCTCCTCAACTGCACATTCTTATAACTCCCTCCTCCAACTAGCATTTCCTTTAACATTTGTTTTGGTCGACCAAACAAAAGTGAAAGAGAATAGTGCAGCCAAACCAGATTACACTAGATAATCCAGAGAAATCCAGATTTTCTTTCTAGATAATGCAGATTATCCACTGGATTTTGTTTACTTTGCTTAGGCTTTGCTTAAACTCCCAACAACTGTTAGTTTGAGCTGGGGGTTTTTGTTTTGGCAAGTCAAAAAGAGTTTTTCTAAAATTGGAGTTGCGTTTCTTAAATACCAAATTCTTTTTTAAAATATTTATTTGTTCATAAGCTTCTGTCTTGCGATCGGCACAAATATTTAGGTTTCCATGACCGATCCTGGTGGACGTTAAGTACAATATCGAACGAACGGCATAAAACCTCCACGCCCAGGTATCCTGTCATCCTCAGCGGCTGCAAGGCATACTGCGACTGAAACGCCGCCTTGAGGAGCAAAATAGTCAGCCGACAATCCGCTTGAAAGCCAGGTAGCGAAAGATAAAGTTGGAGCGGGCAGTACGTCTGAAGACCGTCCCGTTAATCCTAAGTCGTAACAGCTTCAGGAAGCCATCGAGCAAGAGCCAGTCTGGATTTCTAAATTATATCACTGTCCATGCAAATGATACAAGCAAATGTGGTAGAGTATGAGATGGAAAGTGCTGTCCTTTGTTAGCATTGGCATGGAATTTGCTTTCCCAGGATCTTGGGCCACACAAGTTTGGGAGCCGGTACGTCGGCAATGCACATTTTATTTATAATTTAGTTTTGTTGGTTTGTGTTTAACTTCCTCGCTACAAGTTTTTCTAGTGCGTCCCAAAGAACACAAAAGCACGAGTCTTCCGGAGGCACGAGTGATTCGTTTCAAAGCAGTATACTTCAATTACTTTATTAAAAACACATCGCCTTTTCAATGCTTCGCTTCGGTTTTCAATCAATGCTTCCTCTGCAGCTGCATAACGGTTATACCCTGGAGGCATTTCTTCATCGGATTTGTATAACTCGAAGCCTATGCCTGCGTTGATGTGTCACCTCCTTCGGCTTTTCCTTTGTGGATGCATTGTGCTGCCCGTTGCTGCTGCCACCGTAAGCCTTCTTGTGCTGCCCATTGCTGCTGCTGTTGTAAGGCTTCATCCTCGAAAAGGAAACAGGTAGCCCTGTTTATCGACCTCGAACCCTAAGCTTTTTCCCAAGCATATTCGTACTTAATCGAAGGATTTCAAAACCAAGCCGCCTGGCAATGCGACTGCAACGCCGCCTTGACGAGCCAAATACCAGCCACTCTCTCCCAGAGCCAGCCCGCTGACGATATCCGCTTCAGCCACGAAAATCTTTGCAATGATCACCTTTCCTTCGGAAAGGAACTTCGGTGTTTTGGTTTCCAAACGCGTCAAAGCTCTTAGTTTCTAGGTAGGCAGCTTACTTGTTGAAAACATCTTCAAGAACACTAGGAAGGTCATCTTTGCCTTGGAAGGCTTGATTCCACTAAAAGTACCTCTTGAGAAAAGAATTGTTTCTGCAGTAAAACCAATGCTCCCACAAGCAATTTTGGCCTCTCTCGAAGAACATTTTAAAAAATTAACTCTACATTTAAAATCAATGCTATGTGCCAGTACAAGCAATTTAATCAAACTCAACAATTTCATCAAACGCTTCCGGTCTGTGTTCTAAAAGCTGTAAGACCTGTTTCTCTTTCATAGCTTTTTCCTTGTCTGAGATCTTGGAATTCTTGATGGCCTTTTCAAACTTCTCCCAATTGATCATGGACAATACCTCCGGCTCTAGATTGGTGAATACTGTCCTCCTCTCTACAATTTCATCTGCGCTCCGGACCACATACTTCTGTAACCCACAAACGAAATCAATCACATAACAACAAAAAAAATTTTTTTTAAATTACAACCTGGATTACTTGTTCCTGCCCTTCCCATATATGCCTGACCATGAATAAACCCTTTTCAGTGGGAGGGACATACTCAGAGCGCTCCAACTTGAGCGCTCCAACTTTACCAAGTAGCCATCCAAATATCTCGGACAAACACTACATTGAAACTGTTACATAAAGAAAAAAACCAAAAAAAAAATTCTTGCCTTTTGTATGTAATGGGGTATGATCCGAGAGATGGATAGAAATTTAGGCGACATGGTTTCCACGATCAAAGTCAACTTTGTTGTCTTGTCCGGAGCGAAGTTTCAGGTCCTATGTCTCATGTTTCTTCTCTGGCAGGAGGTGACAAGAAGGCTATAAACCAGGCATTGTGGCTTGAATGCGCGGGACCTCTCATCACTTTGCCAGCGATTGGTAGCCAAGTTGTCTACTTCCCACAAGGTCACAGCGAACAAGTGAGTGTCAATCAACATACGTAGGAACTCTCAAAAAACAAAAAAAAACCTTTTTCTTTTCTCGTACCAGGTGATAGCACTCATCTGCACTTTTTAGTCAGATACAAGAATAAGGGAATTTGAATCCTAAATAATACGCACCTGACATGGATGAACATCAAGAACATCCTCTACACCATCATCTAGATCAAAGTCATCACGGGTTCTCCTCAGCACATCTATCACCTGGAAGCCCAAGTTAGTATTTCCATGTAGTGAGTCAAAAAACTTACTTCTTGGCGTTCCATCGCAAAGGAATAGGGCACAATCCAAAACGAAGAACTAGGGCAAATCGGCTCTTTTAGGGTTAGGGTTTGTGCTATGAGCCGGGGCGTGTGCGTGTCGATTGTGCCCGCTGGCTCAAGTCTCAGCACGGATGAAGCTGATCTTCGTACTCGGGGGCAAATGTCGGTACTTCCGCCTGATGTCGACGACTTCGGCTCGCTGCAGGGGTTTGTGTCGACTCTGCCAGGGTTTCCCAGTGGTTCTTCTACTTGCAGCTACTTGAGGACATTCACTTTCGGGAAGTTCACAACACAGGGCTGGGCATACTTTGCAGGAGAGCTGCCCGAGGGGCCGGTAATTTATGTCAAGGTTGAGATCGCTCCGCCACCTTCGGTGCCAAGTAGTCGCTCCTTGGATGCGATTTTTGGCGAGTGGAAGCTTGCGTATGGAGATTTTATCACGAAGTTCTTGCAGCAAGGGGGCCTTGGGGTGCAGCCACAGTGGGGAGTTCCGGTGGGCTTCGATGGTCGCCCGTCGATTTTGTTTCACAAGTTGCAGGATAGATGGACTAGCGATTCAGATGCGTGGAAGCTGCTGGATTATACACTACGGTCGAAGAAGTCGGGCTGTATTCCGCTCATGGGGGTTAGCGGATGTGGGAAAACTCGCACTGTGTTCGAGATTCTGGCAGCCAACTGGGGTTTTTTTTGGACAGCTTCATCGAAACGGAATGGGGGGTCTCAGGATATGGCACTAGTTGGGAACACGGAGCCTGGTTCTGATCCCGAATGCCGCAAACATTTTGCTGCTGTCATAGAGATGAAGAAGTTGATACTGGCTCGTTTGTTGGTTCTTCAACAAGTCCTCAGCATCAAACCAGACTTGACACCAGAGCAGTGGCTTATCCTCCAGACGGAGTTCAACCATTTTTGTGGGACGGAGGACCCCTACAAAAGGCTCGCCATGATGCTGGTTAGCAGTTACGAGTTCCAGCAGGGTGACTTGATCCGTCTATGGGATGCAGTTTGCTCAATGCTGTCCTGCAAGCCCATCTTTGTCAGGGATGAGGCGCAGACGCTCAACGGCACCCGGTGTTTCCAGTCCCCTCAGAGTCACCAGCTGAGGGCCAGGTTCTCTCCCGTGATGAAGGCGCTAATGGACGTACAGTTGGCTGCACCGGTTTTCGCATCAGGAACTGGGATCAACTTCTTAGAACTGGAAAACGATATCCTTTCGCTAGTGGGAAAGATGAGGGGTGCCAGGTTACCACTCTACGTGATCAAGTTTGACAAATGGGAGAAGCCTCGTGAAGTATACGACTTCTGTATCAAGTACCTGCCAGTGCTGGGGCTCACTGCACGTAATTGTGCTCTTCTCTTTAGCAAGTTCAAAGGGCGGAAGCGGTGCTTGGTTACTTGTTTGGAGGAGTTGCTCCGCAATGGCTGCTGCTGGAAGAAGGAGACTGTCGATGCTTTTTATGCGGACCTGACCACTGGTGATTCAAGCGACTTCTCTATGTCCCTGTATTCCATGGTGGCCAGTTTCTTTCAGACAGGCAAGGGCACATTCAGGTTCCGGGGACGGGACTTGTCGGCAAGAGAGCTAGTTATGAGAGCAGTTAGTCATTACTGCTTCTCAAACAGGGCAGGACTTGTTCTCGACTCGGCTGAAGCCCATTTACTCGTGAGTGGCCTGGGCTCGTGTGAGAGGGTTCGTAGTTGGGAGAGCCGGTCTTCATACGAGATCAGCGAGCCCATGGTACTGGCGGCTATGACAAACTACTGCGTCGATAATGATCATCTCGAACGGCATCTCCAAGTTCTGATGCAAAGCCTGGTCGACGATCCTGCAGCATGTGGAAACCTGTGGGAGAAGCTTGTGGTGATTCATATCCCCCGCTTCTTGGATGGCCAGAAGCCGCTCAACAGTTGGCCATGCTTTAAGGGGCTAGATCTGCAGAACTGGGGCGTATGCGTGCCTAAGTTAGCTGGGCTTAACAAGCAGGTGTGGAGGGAGACTCCAGCTGCGCCTCTTTCTGCATACTTGAAGTTGCCTCGAGGCCAGCGTCCGATGTTCTTTATGTTTTCCTCATTGTCTGGGCCGGACATCATGTTCTTCGTCATGCTAGGCGACTTGCTCGTCCCCGTCTTCCTCCAGCTCAAGCTAAGACGGCAGGTGCAGTGGGATCAGGCGGAGGGGACAACAAACCCGTCGAAGATGTACAGGCGGACGTCCAAACAAGTGTCGACAGCAGCTATTCCAGCACTCAAAGAGGCTTGTTTTTACGGCTGCATATCTTTGGTGGTCGCTTATCCAGCTTCTGATCCAAAGGCTCCAAGGTGGCTCACGAGGAGGCTGGTGGGTTACTTGGGGAAAGATGAGGTCAAAGAGATTTTTTCCTCTGAGCTATGCGACTTCTTGGCAGCGATCAAGTCTGATTTTCCTGACTACAAGACGTATAAGGAATTATCGTCAACCACCTCCTTAAGAGCTAAGAGGGTGAAGAAGGAAGAGTATGACGACTTCCAGGACTTCTAGCAGCTATGGTTCTTCAATGTAAAAAGAATGAAATCGATGTAAATTAAACATGTATGGTTCTAAGCCTTCAAAATGTCGCCGTCTGTGGGGATCGAACCCACGACCACGTGGTTAAAAGCCACGCGCTCTACCGGCTGAGCTAAGACGGCTTTATAATCAATAATTATTACATTCTAATAATAACGTGTTAGTAAGTAAGATTAAGTTGCAAGCAAGTTCTTCAAATGGTCTTTGATTACAATTTAATCGAAGGGAGTCGAAGAACTGGAAGTAACTTCACGCCACTCTTTTCCGCCAAATTCGACCCGCTAGAAGTTGGGAAGCATCCGTTTGAAGACGCTCCAGTTGTGTCTCGTCGAAATACTCGCCGAGTTCATCCCTGGATACCATGCGTAGTCCTTGGACGCTGCCACTTCTTTGCTCGCAACGAAGTGGGATCTGTAGTAGAAGCGCTGGAATTACGCACACAACAAGTCAGTCGTAGAGATCGCTGCTTGATGAAAACTCCGTTTGTCCATCACCTGAAACTCGGGGCAGTCGAGATGTCCGCTCGGGGCTTTTCCTACGAAGTAGACGTCGGAGAGGTCGCCTAGAAACGTCTCGAGAGCCGACTCTGCGCACTAGAACATTACACGCAGCGTTGCGAACGTTGCTCGCCACGAAAGAGAAAGAGTAGCACCTTTCTTAAGTTCATCTCGTCCACGTACTTCTTCTCTGGGAAATGCCATCCTTTCTGGCCCTTGTAAGGCGAGTTTCCACGGACGATCAAGTAGAGCCTTTGATCCAATAGTCTGTGCAAAGATCTTCAATCACCACATTAGAGTTTCCAATCCCTGGAAGCAAGAGGAAGAACTCGCGAATTTACTTTCGATCGGTGGACTGGACTGGTGCTACTTTTGCTTGATCAGAGGCAGCAGGAGCAGCACGCCCTCTAGAGGAAAAAAGAACAAGAGAGAAAGCAAACAAAGTCGTGAGAAAAACGATCTCTTTTGAATGGACTTATTTCATATCGTCCAGTGTCTGCTCTAGAATGTCCACCTCTCCGATGATTTGCTTCCATTTCTTGCTGCAATGCGAGGTGAAAAGCAATGAATTCTTTGCTGGATCTAGAGCGGAACTTACGAGAGCTCCCTGAACGAGGCGACTGTGGGATGGGGCGGGCGCGGATACAATGGCAGGCCGCCGCCACAAGGCTTGGATGCCGCAACGCTGCTGTAGAGACGATACCGTGATTTACCCCTCACCATACCCAGCATTCTTCTTCCTCCTAGTCATAAACCCTAAAACTCTAAGCTTACTTACTGAGTAATATGTTATTATTAGAAGATAATTATCACTTTAAAGCCGTCTTAGCTCAGCCCGTCGTACATTTGATTTTTGTTATGCGCGGGGTTTACCTACTTTAAAGAATTAAAATATTATTTAAAGGATGTAATAAGGTTGGTTTGTATTCGCTGTATATTTAGTGATTCATCTAATTATATATTTTTCGTATCAGAATACATTAAGTTAAATTAAAAGTTCCATAAAATATTATTCTAATAATATAAAATTTTGAAATTATTTGATAACATAATTTTTGGTTTGCTTTAAAAAACCTTGTAACAAATATGCCTAGAATATTTACGAATATTTTAGGATATTTCTTAATCTAACGGTTGTGATTTCCTCCTCTTAAAATTTATTGGTAATCAAGATTTAACATTAATATTACTACTTATTGCCAATATATTTTCAGATGAATTTAATTCATTAAGAGTTCATCATCTCTATGAGCTTGAAAATACATAGGATTTTAATTTTCTCTCACTCCTCCAAATAATTTGTATATAGACTTTTGGCTCTACTTTTTAATTCCTTGCTTAATGATTAGAGTATAATCCTTGGAGAGCACTTTCCACACATGTAACTTTTAAACAAAAAATTAAAACAATCTTAATAAAAATTACATAATGCTTTTAGCCACTACAGCGTAATCCAAAATTTGGGTTGTGAAACACTTGCATCCATGAGGCTTTGTTTTGCTACATAATGGACATGGTTACTTGAGCTAAAATATAAATTTATAGTTTAGAACAATATTATCGTTTTCACACGAGATTAGATTTAATTTATTATAGATATTTTTATAGGAAATTTTTATATGAAAATTATTAAACTCTTTAATTTATAATATTTGTTAGTCATGTATATAAATAATTTGCTGTGTGTTGCATGCAACAACGTTTAGTTTGCTTAATAATAGTGTTATTGAATAATCCAATTGATCAATAATTATAAACATGTTTATAATTTATAAATTGATATTAACCATTAGATGGTAGAATAAAAAAGAATATACTAGAAAGTGTTTAGGAAAGTTTATAAATTATAAATACGAGATTAATCTAAATGAATAACAACCATTAGATGGTAAAATATCTTAGAATATCCAAGCATAGTCTAAGTATATTCATTACCATTTTAATGGTTTTGCTTAAGCAAGCCTAAAATGTTATTAATGTTTATGTTACATTACCAACAAAATATTATAACCGTTTCTGCATTTTCTCAATATTAATAATTTTGGAATATCTAGAGATTTTGAGAAGCATTCTTGGTTTATCCAGATATATGTTGATTTGTTCTTCCGAGAGATTACTTATTTCATTTCGCTATCACTGTGTGATGAAAAGAAGAATCGAGGTGATGCATTGGCGACATGAGCACTCATTTCTCATATCCCAGAAAAGTCTTGATATCACCAGAATAATTCATCGTCGGTATTTGTCTTATCGCCATTTCTTTCCAAATGGGTTTCTAGGGTTCTGGGGAGGGAGGCTCCTGCGCGGAGCTATGCGCTGGCTCATCGACTGCATTCAGGAGTACGATCGAGTGCAGTCGCTGGCGGTGGTTTTACTCTATGTCCAGGTGATTTATTGTTCCCTTCCATCCATTTACTTCAGCTCAGATCCATCCCAATTTCATCCACTTGTGATCTTCTGCTGCCACAGGTGTCCTGTGCGCTGATCGGCTCCCTCGGCGCGCTCTACACGGGGGTCTTGCTTGCAAATCTAGCGATCGCCTTGTTTGCTCTTGTGGCGATTGAGAGTGGGAGTCAAACCCTTGGCCGCGCTTACGCCGCATTGCTAGTGTGTGCCTTGCTTCTCGACATACTTTGGTTTATTTTCTTCTCCTATGAGATCAGGTAAGTTTCTTACGTGCTATTTCTTCTTGGTTTGCTCCTTTTTTTTTTGTTGTTGTTCTTTAATCTAAGAGAGTTGTCACGCTCGTGCTTTACAGTGTTTTGTTTCTCCTCGAGAGTTTCTTTATTCTAAGATTCTAAAGAGTTTTCTCTACGTGCAGGCATTACGGCCTATCTCCACGAATTGGCACGCTGTCGATCTTCTCGCTGGAGCTCGCGCTATGGATGGAGATCATCGGCTTCACGGTCCGGAGCTTCTCGGCGCTGGTTTGGCTGCAAATGTACCGGCTAGGACCGTCTCTCGCCACGGATAGTCTCGCTAGTTACTACCAGAGGCTCGTCCAGCCCGCTGCTGGTGCTACTCCAGCGGTTTCCACTCCCCGGAGCGCCAGGCAGACGTCCATAAGCGACCAGATCCTCGGTGGCTCGATTTATGATCCAACGTACTACGCCTCGCTCTTCCGGATCCAGGAGAAGGAGAATTGCTCGAGCTCGTCAACAAAGGTGGGATTTTACAATCTTTTTCTTTTCTCTCCGTTTGGCGATAAGTGTGATATCTCTATCTGTGCAGGACACTGGGGATGATAACGAAAAGCGTGCTAGCGGAGAATAAGCGCTGTAGAGCAACTTTGTCCTTGTACCCGGCATTAAACTCCAGGTTTGTAACAACGTGCAAAGCGTTTCCTTTTGTCTCAAGTCACTCCTCAGGAGCTGGTTTTTCTCGCAGAATTTGGGCAGAAGCGTTGGTCTGGATCATAGCGGTTTAATCCATCCTGGCATTGGGGAAACAGTTCACGCGGCATTCAAAGACAAGAAATCGACAGCGAGGACGTACGGGAAGAAGGGGGGTTTAGGTATATCTGCGTACGGAAAGAAGCGGGCTGGTGCAAAGAAGGCAGAGAGACGAAGAAGAAAGCTCGATTTTGGTGTGGCTGGTGCTTCTTTCCTTCCACCGGTCTTTTAGGGAACTGGCGACCAACTTGGATGAGAGACTGAGCTGTGGGGATGGCTGCTTTTGGGGGCGTTGTGGTGTCCGATCCTCTCTTGGCGAGCCAATTCACGCAGAATGAGCTTCGCTCGCTCAAATCCGAGGTAAAGAAGCTGCAAAGCGTCTTTTTTCTTTCTTTTGCTCAGCTTTCTCCTGCGTAGTTTGAATCGTTGGGGAGCAGCAGCGACGTGATCACCGCCAAAGAGTTCAAAGATGGACTTTCAAGACTGGCTTTCATCCAAGAACCGCTAACAGAGGAGGAGGTGGCCTCCATTGTGAAAGAAAGGAGCAGCAGCTTGGATTTTGAGGCCTTTCTGTCGGTAACGAAGCGAAGCGATCATCTTTTCCGAAGTTTCTCAATCGAACATTCTTTCCTCTGCAGATATACTTGGAGATGCAAAAGAGCGGCGTCAAAATCAGCCCCCAAAAGAGCCCAGCGTCCGAGTTCCTGAAAAGATCAACTACCACATTGATTCACACTGTGCACGACTCCGAGAGAAAAGCATACGCCGATCATATTAATAGCCATCTTGCCGATGATCCTGACTTGAGCGACATTCTTCCGATTGACTCGTCCACGGATGATCTCTTTGACGCTGTTCAGGACGGTATACTGATCTGGTGAGTGAGTTTCCTGTCGGCTCAAAAATTCATGACTGCTCTTGCAGCAAAACGATCAACGTTGCGGTTCCCGGAACCATCGATGAGCGGGCTCTGAATATGAAAAAGAATCTCAATCCCTGGGAAAAGATTGAGAATCAGACACTGTGCTTGAACTCTGCAAAGGCAATTGGTTGCTCGGTTGTCAACATTGGAACCGAAGATTTGATCGCAGGAAGAGTACGCCTGTTTCCATTTTATTCTCAAAAAAGTTTAATTGATCCTTTTTTTTTTTAATGCAGTCTCACCTCGTCTTGGGTCTGCTGTCTCAAATAATAAAGGTAGATATCATGTTGCAACTATTAAGTTTTAGCTTCAGTGTTTCGCCAGATTCAATTGCTTTCTGGTGTCAACTTGAAAGCAGCACCAGAGCTCGCGGAGATGCTAAACGATACAGAGGTAATAGAAATTGAACTATGAAAATTCTAAGTTTTTGGAGTTTGCAGGATATAGAAGAGCTTCTTCGTCTTCCAGCTGAAAAGGTGTTGTTGAAATGGGTCAACTACCACCTGCAGAAGGCTGGGTTTTCCAGAGAAATTACTAACTTTTCGTCAGATCTTAAGGTACCGAACTGAAACACTTTAAAACTGACCAACGTGATGTTGTAGGATGGGGAAGCATACACCGTACTTCTAAACATCTTGGCTCCTGAGAGCTGCGATTTGTCTCCGCTAGATCTCCAAGATCCATACGATAGAGCAAAAGCAGTGCTTGCTCAGGCTGAGCGTATCAACTGTCGGAAGTACCTCACACCCAGAGACATTACATGCGGCTCCGCAAACTTGAATCTTGCTTTTTTAGCCTATCTCTTCCATGAAAGGTATTGAATTTCAGGCCCACCTCGCTCTTGATAAAATTTCTTCTTATTCCAGGAATGGTTTGACAGCCGATAACAGCCTCACTTACGCTGAATTAATTCAGGATCATGAGCAAGACTCGAGAGATGAGCGGGTTTTTCGTGTGTGGATCAATAGCCTTGGTACAACAACATATGTGGACCAGCTGTTTGATGGCGTCTGGGACGGGTATAAGAGGAAACCGTCTTTTAAGTTTCAAGCTCTGATAGTTTTGTTTGTACTCTGTAGGTGGATCCTCCTCGAAATACTAGACAAATTGGAGCCAGGCTCCATCAACTGGAAGGCAGCCAATAAACCTCCCATCAAGATGCCGTTTAAGAAGGTGGAGAACTGCAACCAAGCCATTGATGCTGCTCGAAAGCTGAGGTTGTCACTGGTAAACGTTGCAGGAAGCGACATCGTTCAAGGCAATCGCAAGCTCATACTCGGTAATTTCTTTCTTTCTTTTTCTTTTTCTTTTTCTTTTTTTTTTTTGTGTGTCGATGACTGCTAAGCGGTTTACATGTCTTTGTCAGCGTTTCTGTGGCAATTGATGCGGTATCATACCCTCCAGCTGCTGAAGAACATTAAATTGAGAGGGAAGGAGGTGTCTGACTACGACATCTTGAAATGGGCCAACAATAAAGTGAAGCGATCAGGCAAAGACAGCCGTATGGAGAGTTTTAAGGTAACAAACGTTGCTGTGAACTAATGTTTGAGTGGAACTGGAACTTCCAGGACAAGAGCTTATCATCTGGCATCTTCTTCCTCGATCTTCTCTGGGCTGTAGAACCACGCGTTGTAAACTGGCAGCTCGTGACCAAAGGAGTAACAGGCAAGCAAACGAACTTAGTCCCGTCCAAATGAATCGATATAATCTTATGAATTGCAGATGACGAGAAGAAACAAAACGCGGTGTACGTGATCAGTGTGGCCAGGAAGCTCGGTTGCAGCGTGTTCTTGCTGTGGGATGACATTGTCGAGGTAGTTTTATTTTTTCGTTTTCCAGCGAGGGATTTCTTTGTTATTTGCTTTCGCAGGTGAGACCCAAGATGGTGATGATCTTGGTAGCCACCGTGATGCTGTGGAGTCTGGGCGAGAAGGCTAAAAAAGCTGCCAATACAGCTGCTGTTCTTGAGCTCCACAACGAGGTCTCTTAATTTTGTTTCTTCATTTTCTCCTGTGATTTTTTCATTGTAAAAAAAGAATTCTTTGTAATACTCACGTTCTTCCTCAATCATAGCGAGTGTTTCAGCTCCAGAGTTCCTAGCGGCCTGCCACAGGGACAATGGTTCACCAAGCGCATTTTTTCTCCTAAATGAGGAGATGGATGTGGAGCAGCCAGCCTGGTTTGTCATGGTGAAAACAAACTACACGGCTTAATAATTTATTGAGAAGAACAAGCTGCTTGGGAGAAAAAAGAACTGAAGGGAACATTGGACTCAACGGCCACCTTGAGATTGTGCTTTTCAGCAAGAAGTTGCTCGGCTGAGACCTTACATTGCTTGTCAAGGGCAAAGATCTCTATGTCATGAGCATAAAGTTTGTCCATGTTGGAAAGCTGGAAGTTTGTAACATGGCACAAAAATAGCGCAAGTGATGGTATCTTGAGCTTCACTGAAAGTACTACCTCAGTCCCATAGACTAAGGAGAAGGGAGTTGCAAAAATTGATATCTTGAACTGAAAGGCCAAAAGTGTTGTGATCAAGTGTTCATGCCATTAGCACGAGTGATCATTAATGAGCTTCAAAAAAACTATCTTCAAGATCTTGTTGTTGGACTCAACTTGGCTGTTGCTTTGTGGAAAGTAGCTATTGCTGCACATATGCTGGATGTGGAGCTCCTTGAAGAGGTGTGAAACAACTCAGCTGAGGAAAGCATTGCCATGATCAGAAACCAGAACAACAGATACTCTGAAGAGGCAAATGATGTACTCATACAGGAACTTTGCCATGGAAACTTGATTTGCATGTTGTAGAGGGACAGCCTCCACCACCCACTTTCTGTTGTGATGAGCAAGTATTGGTATCCTTAGGAGCTTGGATGCAAGATGAGGCCAATACGGTCAAGGCCCCACTTGAAGAACAGCCTTGGAGATGTCATAAGATAAAGGGAAACCTTGCAATGTGGCTGCATGGGTTGAACCTTTGGCGCTTCTCACATGTCCTAACATACTCAAGAGTATCTTAGTGGAGCCATGGCCAGTAGTAGCCATACTGGAGAAGGAGCTATGTTATCACTCGTCCAGAGAAGTGCCCCACACAAGAGTGAAAGGCTTGTAGCAATGCTGGAATCTCATGTTCCACAACACATTTGAAGAAGAACCCCTGGGGATGTCCAGCGGGAGAGATGGTTAAGAAACAGTAGTCTCGAGTGTGAACCTCCAAAGCTTTGCATGCTGTGAGTGTCATGTTTGTTGAGCTGTCTGGCTGGCCAAGAGGAGCCGTGAGATGAGCAAGGAGGAAGAGTAATGAGCGTTCTTGGCTGAGAGAGCCCGTGCGACGAGCGATCAATCGGTCGATTTTCAATTTTTTGATGTAATAAGATAAAAACCAGGATAGCGTATTCTTCGCGATTAGGGTTTTTGGAGGTGCGCAACGATGCAATTTCATGAATTTGTCGCATCCTGCTTCACCCCGCCAGGATCGATGCTGCCGCTTGAGGTTTTTCTTCCTCTTTCTCTCTTGTCTGGAAGGATCGCTGCCGCCATACGCATTGCGATCTGTTCCGAACAAGATGCTGCTGGAATCGATCAAGGGAGACGCTGTTGCCATGGAGTTTTCCTTCCATAAGAGAAGTAAGTTTCGTTCCTCGCCACTTCACTCACCTTCAGGGTGCTTTTCTCTTTTGTTCTTCCTTGTTGCCTTATAACTGAACGATTTCGTTATTTAGCCAGGATACTTTCAGTCCCTTGTAAGTGCACTTCAGAATTTCTTCTCTGACGATATCTGTCTTGCAGTTGCTGGATAGGAACTCTCAACTTTGGAGAGTGATCCGAGAGTACGTTCAACATGAAGAGGATCTTGTCTCGCTCTTTACTTTTTGCGGCCTTGTTCTTAACGCAATGTTTTTCTACCTTTCGATTTTAGGCTCGTCAAATAGACACCGGAGAGCTAATCCGCTTCCCTTTGGAGATTGGATTATATGGCGTCTGCAAGCCATACAGCATGGAATCCAAACAGCCAGCGCATTGTCGCGGAAGAGCTCGTAATGCTCGGGGTGTTGCAGCTCCAAAAGGTACTGTCATTGATCCCAAAACAAACAGAAATCTGTATGATAGATCGACGAGACTTGCGACTGTCCTCTGGGCGATTTTGTCCGAAGCATCAGCATGGTTTGTCATGGTGAAAACAAACTACACGGCTTAATAATATCGAAACACTACATGTGTTTGTTAGACCACTTAACTCTGGTGCCTCCCATTTTTATTACAGGACGTTCGTTCTTCGTTTTCCAGCGGTTCGCTTAAGAGATTGCTCGTTTATAGGTCCAAGCAGCAACGAGCAGTGTGGAATAGCCGCCGGGATCTCTCGTGACTGAGATAGCCTGTAAGAGCTTCGATTCTTTCTCCTTTCTTTGTTAACTTACAAGGTTTGTATTTCTTTCTTTCTGTTCTTCACGGGTCTATGACGGCTAAGCCTTTGTGATATTCCAGAACATGACGTTTATGATCGCAAACGGATCACCACAAGCAATACGACTTTATGGCAAGGGAATGTATGACTCCGTGTTTCTTTTTCTCTCATTTCTCGTTAATCATGCTCCAGAGCAGCCACTTGCACGTTGAGCAGCCAAGTGGGTTCCAAAAGGCAGAAACCATATAAATGACAGGCAACGATAAGCCTTTCATACTTTCGATTACACTAGACTTGTCCTTCTGGTCGATCTCCTTAAAACTTGGCGGAGACCGTGCCATAAGTCAACTTTTACCTCGTCAAAAGGGTCAAAGAGACGGTCATTAAGCTACTTTACCTTACTTGGATTTAGGGTTTTAGGAGGTGTGGCAACGATGCCGAATGTGCGGAGGGCGACGCGCGATTTCATGGATTTGGTCGCATCCTGCCTCACCGCCGCCAGGATCGACGCGCTCTACGCCAGCAAATGGACTTGCCAGGCGGTCTTGAGGTTTTTTTTTCCTCTCGCTCTCTCTCTTTCTTGTCTGAGCGTGGTTCCAATCAGATCGCTGCCGCCATTGGCGAAGCTCTACGTGTTGCGATTGCTCTACCTGGATGCCGCGGTTCCGGACAAGATGCTGCTGGAATGGATCAAGGGAGACGCTGTTGCCAAGCACAAAAATGCGGTGGACAGGCTAGTCCAGCTCAGAGTTTTCCTTCCAGAAGAGAAGTAAGCTTTCGTTCCCCGCCATACTTCTTCCCGCTGAGAATCCTTTCCAGGAAGAAAGAAACACACTACAGAGTTAATCCCAAGTTCCAGGAGCAACTACGACTGGCATTGTCTACTGGGTATGCATAACTTCTTTCTTTCTTTCTTTCTCTCGTCCTTGCTGATTCATCATCTTTCTCTCTTGCTTGTTGTTCTCTCAGTTTAGGAACTCCCAGGGACCCTTTGCCTCCAGACATCGCTGTGAGGATGCCGTCCGCGAAGGAGCTGGACGACTATGCGACTGAAAAATGGGAGGCATGGTTTTCAAGCGTGAAAGTTTTTTCTGCGAGTCAAGTTACTTACGTGCATGCTACCTGCTGCAGTCAGTTGTTCTCCAGCTCGTCAACTTTGCCTCTCCGGATGGCCCATCCGCATCGACCAACGGATTCATCGTCCAGCTCTTCCAGAAGGCCGATTTGCTTACTTCAGGGTAGCGTCTCATTTGTGTTTTTTTTTTTTTTTGGTTGCCTTAAGGATTTCGTTTGGTTTTCTTTTAGCCAGGATCCTAAAATCACTCCAGCTGGCTTTCAGTTCCTTGTAAGTGCACTGGAATTCTGTCAAGAGTTTCTTCTCTGACGAAATCTGTCTTGCAGTTGCTGGATAGGAACTCTCAGCTTTGGAGAGTGATCCGAGAGTACGTTCAATATGCAGAGGTTCTTGTCTCACTCTTTAGTTTTGCGAGTTTGTTCTTAGCATTTCTCTTTTCTACTTTTTGATTTTAGGCTCGTCAAATAGACACTGGAGAGCTAATCCGCTTCCTTTTGGAGATTGGATTCTACAGCGTCGGCGAGCCATATAGCATGGATTCACTTCCAAACAGCCAACGCAATTTCGCGGAGGAGCTCGCAATGCTCGGGGTGTTGCAGCTCCAAAAGGTACTGTCATTGATCTTAATGACGCACAAAACTAACAGAAAAATGTTCACAGGGTATGAAAGATCGATGGTTCATTCCAACGAGACTCGCTACTGGTCTTTCAGCGAGTTTGTCTGAATCATCAGCATGGCAAACGGAGGGATTTATCATGGTGGAAACGAACTTCAGAGTCTACGCGTACACGTCTTCGAAGCTTCATATCGAGACGCTCCATGTTTTTGTCAGGTTAGTGGAGTAATTTTAGCTTTGTTTTGTTTAAGCAACTGCTAGCAGGTATGTAGCAAATGCTAGAAATTTCGCATTTACCAACTTAGTGCTGCATTTTGTGAATCTTTTTTACAGGACCGAGTACGTTCTTCCAAACATTCTTGTCGGGAGCATCACAAAGGAGAGTGTCAACGGCGCGTTTGCGAGTGGAATATCTGCAGACCAGGTCTGATCTCTCAAAGCTTTTCTTGTTGTTGGTAATAACGTTTCTCTTGGCCTGCAGATTATCAAATTTCTCCAGCAGCACGCTCATCCGTTTGTAGCTCAAAAAGTTCCTTCGGTTCCAGAGACTGTTTGCGACCAGGTACAAGCTCACTCGTAGAAACTGAGCCTGATCTCTACAATCTAGATTCGTCTGTGGGAATCGGACCGCGTGAGAGTGCAATATCTTCCCGCGTACTGCTACGAAGGCTTCCCAAGCACGGTAAGCAACTCTTCACAAACAATGGTATTTTAATCCGTCTATTATTCGAATGCATCAGTCTGTTTACGAGTCAGTGGTGGCTCACGCCAGGGATCGAAATGGGCTTTTGTGGGAGGACGCTAACAGGAAAATGATCGTCGTGGGTGGCGAACACCATGAAGCCATTCGAGCCTTCCTTCAAAACATCAACAAGAAAAAATAAATTTTCGAAATGCTAATCCCATTTTTGTTTGTGCAAATTTTCTTAGTTCTTTTGACGGAGTAATTCTTATGTTTTTTTTCTTAGCGTGAATGTTTTGGGTGGACTTTTCTTCCTTTGACATTTTCTTTGTTTGACTCGGTTTAAATGATTTTTATGATGTTCTCCTCACTATTGCAAAGGAAAATTGATGGTGTGAACCAAGAAGAAGAGTCCATGCAAATTTTTATTGTCGCCCAAGTCCACTTAGCTAGTTTTTGGTTGATCCCTGGCATCTTCGACTTTGAATTCAAAGGACAGAAGAATCTGTATACTTCGGATTTCTCGGGTGAAAGCATACGTTCTGTTCCAGTGACCAGGTACAAGCTCATTTCTTAGAAACTGGACTCTAAGATTCGTTCGGATCACGGCCACGACACTGTAAGTCTGGGTGCGGTGGCATGAGCCGTGGCCCGTTCATGCCACACCATCCCCATCATGGGTTTGGAGCTCTGCTTTCTTCCTCCAAACTCCCCGCCGCTTCAACTCGTCATCCACTGAAGAAAAAAAGAAGGATCTTAGCGGCTTGAAGAACGGACTCGAACCGGTCCCGACGGGCGCCACGAGCCTTGTACAGGAACCAAAAGTTGGCAATCCCAGCAGCCAGTTATCTATTCTGTTTACAAGGTGTGGCAGCATGAGACCGACTGGCAGCCGTGATTATTGCCGTACATCCGATCTTGTGGCCGTCAATGTAGTCCGCCATATCAGGAGCAAAGGCAGACAAAATACAGCAGTACTGTCAGAATCTGGATCAGAAGCTTTGGTCATCGATTTCATCACCCCAATGGCCGGCTTGTCTCGAATTTTTCCAGCCTGTGACACGTCTTTCTGGAAGCAACCAACAGAAATTTCCCATCCAACAGCTCAACCTTTTTCTCCCAGAATAAAGAAGATTATTCATTGAGTGAACCCTCTATCCATACCACAGATGGAAGCACAGGATTCAGACAAAATAAACCCGGCGACTTCTCTAAAGGATATATTCACCCATTCCACTTCCTCTTATCACCGCAATCGCAATGGGCAGCTCATTGTCTCGATGCTTGCCAGCTCGTGGCACGTCTCTCCGGAGGAGATGCAGGTGCATTCAAATCAACACAAAGGCCGACAAAACACCACTCGACCGGCGGCTGTGCCTTGATCTTCCCAACGGACTGCCCAAGCGCCAGCAGCTCGTGGGCATTGCCATGGTGATCCTGCCCTGCGTTCGGGAGAGCCGCGCCAACTTCGAAGTTGCTCTGGAGATCAGGAGCCTCTTTGTGGGTGTGGACGACGAGGATGTAATCATCAGCGCCAAGGCTCTGGGATTCTACCCGTACCGCGTCAAACTCCGGATCGAGCCACAGCTTGGTGAGATGGAAAGCTCTGACATTGTTCTCTACGATTTCCGCAATTCCAGCACACATACCACGAGCTGCGATGCTGAGATTGGAGCTCAACTTAATTTATGGCCACTATCTCTCAAATTAAAAAAAACGTGGGGACGATCACTTCAAGAGCCAATGGAATACGAGTCCATCACTGTTGGACTTCATCCCAGTGTGATTCCAGCGAAGGAGTTTCCACTCAAGCTCAGCTGTGTTCCCTGGAACTCACGTTCGTCCTCAATTATGGGGCATTTTTTCCTTTGGTTTCTAGCACGATTGCGCGCGCGAGTGTCTCTGCTCCAGAGTTTTCTAGCGGCCAGCCAGATGGATGTGGAGCCAAGCGCATTTTTACTCCTAAACGAGGAGATGAATGTGGGGCAGCTGAACTTAACGCTTCTTAGCGTGAGTGAGGTAAGATAAAAATAAACGAGAAGAGGAAGAAGAAGAAATGAATAGGATTCTCACCGATTGTTCCTCTCTTTCAGATGAAGAGCTTGTCATTGAAAGTATGGCTTCCTTTTGGAGCTTTTGGTAAGTGGTATGTGCAGAGGCACTCATAGTGGACGAAGGCCTGGTGAGATCGCTAGAAGTTTGTAGATGGTTATCGCGCTCTGTTGGTCTTGCTCAAAGCAGGGCTCCGCTATTTATTTCGACAAAAAGTATATGCTTCTCACTCACCATCTGTGACAACAAACTCACGTGAAAACTCGACTGTCTCCCTGGTGCAATTGGCTTCGCGGTACATCCAGTTGCTTCTCGTGTAGCAGACGAGATGCATCTCGGCCTCGAGATGAAGCTTGAACCGGAGCGGAACCTTGGACGCCATGCTTGCGGGCAGATGCCACACAAC